TGAAGCACCACTTTAGCTAATGGGGCCTCCTGCTGCTGCCGCACAATTTCTGTTCTCATCCTGAAGCAAAGTTCTTAACCCGAGGTACTATTTCTGGGTTAGCAGAGTCTGTAACCTGAAGCGTCTGTAACCCAAGGTACCACTGTACCTGACTTTTAGAAGACATCTGAAGGCAGCCCTGTTTAGGGAAGTTTTTAATGTGTGATGTTTTATTGTGTTTTCAATATTCTGTTGGGAGCCGCCCAGAGTGGCTGGGGAAACCCAGTCAGATGGGTGCGGTATAAGTAATAGATGCTGATGATGATGAATACTTAAAAACATGAAAGTCTTTTTGGATCAGGCCAGTGTCCCAGCTAGTCTAGCATCCTGTTTTCACAGTGGCTAACCAGATGCCCCAATGGTTAGCCTCCAAGCACAACAGCCCTCTCCCTTCCAGTGGTTTCCAGCAACTGGTATTCAGAACCGTTTACTGCCTCTAACTGTAGAGGCACAGCACAACCATCATGACCAGTAGCCACTAATGCTGTGTGTGTTTGTATGTGTGTGTGTGTTGATCTGGTCTTCCTTTCTGGAAAACACGTCACTCAAGTATAATTGGATAGACTGGGAGGGGGATTAAGAGTTTTCTGTTCAAAGGCAGGCAGCATCAATTGGAGCCCCTTATTGACTCTGATAGAGATCAGGAGGCTGTTATTCAATTGTCTCGCCTCCTTCCCACCTCTGAAAGAAATTCTCTCTCCTCCTTTTTAGTTAAGCCCCTTCTTTTTTCTGAAAAGTCTCTGGCAATTTCCAGTCTTCCGAGTGCCAAAGATGCCTCCTGCAATCAAAGGAATATCTCTATGTGCTCTTGTGTGTGTGCGCGCTGTGCTTTTTAAAAAGAAGTCCCATAGCTTCCCTGACCAAGAGAGAACTGTAGCTTTAAAAAGGTGAACCTGGAAGGTCTCTATGCGTGGGAAGAAACCCTCCAAGCCCATACTGGGAAATGGAAAGCAGCCTAAAATGCGGCTCTCTTGAAATGCTCTCCTTACTTCCTCCAACTCCTCATTGCTCTTCAGCTCCTGGCTCGGCACGCCAAGTCGAATCTGACAGCCAATTTTTACAGCTGAATTGAAACGGAAAGACGGGCAGACCCGGGAGAGCATGGAAAAAGACTCAGTAAAAAGTGAGTTTCCCGCCCACCCCCCTTTAAAATGAAGCCTGTTTTGTTTTGTCTTTTTTTTAAAAAAAAAAAAAATCCACATAAACCTTTTTAAAATCGCTATCCTGCAATAGGAAGCTGCTCTTTGGTCCATCTGGCTCAGTACTGTACTGTACTGTACTGTTTACACTGGCTGGCAGAGGCTCTCAAGTAGCTCCGTCCGTAGAGCATAGAATCATAGAATAGTAGAGTTGGAAGGGACCCCGTGGGTCATCTAGTCCAACCCCTGCAGTCCAGGAATCTCATCTAGACCTCTGCTGAAAAACCTTCAAGGAAGGAGAGCCCACAACCTCTCCTTCCTTGAAGGTTTTTCAGCAGAGGTTGGATGGCCACCTGTCATGGATGTTTTAGCTGAGTTTCCTGAATTGCAGGGGGTTGGACTACAGAATCATAGAATCATAGAGTTGGAAGAGACCACAAGGGCCATCGAGTCCAACCCCCTGCCAAGCAGTAAACACCATCAGAGCACTCCTGACATATGGTTGTCAAGCCTCTGCTTTAAGACCTCCAAAGAAGGAGACTCCACCACACTCCTTGGCAGCAAATTCCACTGTCGAACAGCTCTTACTGTCAGGAAGTTCTTCCTAATGTTTAGGTGGAATCTTCTTTCTTGTAGTTTGGATCCATTGCTCCGTGTCCACTTCTCTGGAGCAGCAGAAAACAACCTTTCTCCCTCCTCTATGTGACATCCTTTTATATATTTGAACATGGCTATCATATCACCCCTTAACCTCCTCTTCTCCAGGCTAAACATGCCCAGCTCTCTTAGCCGTTCCTCATAAGGCATCATTTCCAGGCCTTTAACCATTTTGGTTGCCCTCCTCTGGACACGTTCCAGTTTGTCAATGTCCTTCTTGAACTGTGGTGCCCAGAACTGGACACAGTACTCCAGGTGAGGTCTGACCAGAGCAGAATACAGTGGCACTATTACTTCCCTTGATCTAGATGCTATACTCCTATTGATGCAGCCCAGAATTGCATTGGCTTTTTAGCTGCCGCGTCACACTGTTGGCTCATGTCAAGTTTGTGGTCAACCAAGACTCCTAGATCCTTTTCACATGTACTGCTCTCAAGCCAGGTGTCCCCATCTTGTATTTGTGCCTCTCATTTTTTTGCCCAAGTGCAATACTTTACATTTCTCCCTGTTAAAATTCATCTTGTTTGTTTTGGCCCAGTTCTCTAATCTGTCAAGGTCATTTTGAAGTGTGATCCTGTCCTCTGGGGTGTTAGCCACCCCTCCCAATTTGGTGTCATCTGCAAATTTGATCAGGATGCCCTTGAGTCCATCATCCAAGTCGTTGATAAAGATGTTGAATAAGACCGGGCCCAAGACAGAACCCTGTGGCACCCCACTAGTCACTCTTCTCCAGGATGAAGAGGAACCATCGATGAGCACCCTTTGGGTTCGGTCAGTCAGCCAGTTACAAATCCACTGAGTGGTAGCATAGTCAAGACCACATTTTACCAGCTTCTTTACAAGAATATCATGAGGCACCTTGTCAAATGCCTTGCTGAAATCAAGGTAGGCTACATCCACTGCGTTCCCTTCATCTACCAGGCTTGTAATTCTGTCAAAAATGAGATCAGGTTAGTCTGACATGACTTCTTTTCAGAAATCCATGCTGACTATTGGTGATCACAGCATTCCTTTCTAGGTGCTCACAGACTGTTTGCTTAATGATCTGCTCCAGAATCTTCCCTGGTATTGATGTCAGACTGACTGGGCGGTAATTATTTGGGTCCTCTCTTTTCCCCTTTTTGAAAATAGGGACAACATTTGCCCTCCTCCAGTCTGCCGGGACTTCGCCTGTTCTCCAGGAATTCTCAAAGATGACTGCCAGTGGTTCTGAGATCACATCTGCCAGTTCTTTTAATACTCTTGGATGCAGTTCATCTGGCCCTGGAGACTTGAATACATCTAAACTAGCCAAGTATTCTTGTACTATCTCCTTAGTTATTCTGGGCTGTGTTTCCTTTGCTGAATCATTTGCTCCAAATTCTTCAGGTCGGGCATTGCTTTCTTTATCGGAGAAGACTGAGGCAAAGAAGGCATTGAGGAGTTCAGCTCTTTCTGTGTCCCCTGTTTGCATTTCACCATCTTCTCCTCTGAGTGACCCCACTGTTTCTACAGGACCCATGGGCTCCTTCCAACTCTTCGGTTCTATGATTATATGAATCCAACCAGGCAAAAGCACTTGAGGCTGATGAAGAGTGTTGTCAGGAGAGAGTCCCAAGGGCCAAATGTAGAGCTCTGGGGGCCACATTCATCCCCTGGAGCTGAGGTTAGGACATCCCTGACTTAGGTCATTTATCAAGGTCTACATCTGACCCTACAAGTTCATTCTCTCTCTCTCTCTCTCTCTTTATTAAATTGTTCTAATTTACATTTCAAAATATTCATTTAAACAGCCTTAAATTAATGACTTCCCTTCTTCTCTTTCTGTGGTTCATTTTGCATACCTTTTGACACCTGGGAATTTCCCTTTGAATTATTCCCAACAGAAAGGACTCTGGGTGTTTTTTGTTTTGGTTTTTTGAAACGTGCCGTTAAACATTTTTTTCAGTTCACTATATATCATTTACCAATACTCTTTTACAAGTCCTCCACATACAAAAGACCGTTCCCTCCACCTCTTTACATCCCCAGCAATTATCTGATTTGAACTTACACATTTTAGCAAGTCTACTCGGAGTTGAATACCATCTATTAATCATTTCCAGGTAGTTCTTCTTCAAGGAATAACATGCTGTGAACTTCAAATCACTCTTCCAAAGTTTTCCCCAGAAATTCAAATCTGTATTATGTCCTGTGTCTATGGCAGGGGTAGGCAACCTAAGGCCCGGGGGCTGGATCCGGCCCAATCGCCTTCTCAATCCAGCCCATGGACGGTCCGGGAATCAGTGTGTTTTACATGAGTAGAATGTGCCCTTTTATTTAAAATGCATCTCTGGGTTATTTGTGGGGCATAGGAATTTGTTCATTATTTTTTTCAAAATATAGTCTGGCCTACCACATGGTCTGAGGGACGCGGGTGGTGCTGTGCGTTAAACCACAGAGCCTAGGACTTGCCGATCAGAAGGTCGGCAGTTTGAATCCCCGCGATGGGGTGAGCTCCCGTTGCTTGGTCCCTGCTCCTGCCCACCTAGCAGTTCGAAAGCATGTCAAAGTGCAAGTAGATAAATAGGTACCGCTCCGGCAGGAAGGTAAACGGCGTTTCCGTGCGCTGCTCTGGTTCACCAGAAGCGGCTTAGTCATGCTGGCCACATGACCCGGAAGCTGTACGCCGGCTCCCTCGGCCAATAAAGCAAGATGAGTGCCGCAACCCCAGAGTCGGCCACAACTGGGCCTAATGGTCAGGGGTCCCTTTACCTTTACCCTTTACCACATGGTCTGAGGGACGGTGGACCGGCCCCCTGCTGAAAAAGGTTGCTGACCCCTCTGGTCTATGGTATTGGGGTCTCTCTCTCTCTCTCTCTCTTTCTCTCTCTCTCTCTCTCACTCACTCACACACACACACACACACACACACCTACCTCCAGGGCCAAAATGGGACCTGCATCTGTTACCTGCCTTTCTCCATTTGTGTACCCTGCATAACAGGTAGCTTGAAGGCTGCTTCTCCTCTGTCCTTTCCCTGCCTCTTCTGCCACACGTCATTCTTTGAAGGGAGCCGCAATCTTTAATGTGTTGTGTTTCCTTCCTCCCTCTTTTCCCCCCACTGCCGCCTCCCCAATTGTCAACAACCTGCCCGGGATGCTTAGGGAGACAGACTTTCCTCTGTATCAGACCTGGCAGCCTTCAATGACAGCTAAGGAGCAAGATCATCAGCAGGTGAATGCTTTATTCCCAGACGATCCACTTAGAGCAAAGATAAGATGTTCGCTCCTCCGAAATTTGATGCCTTCCATGTACAGAACCCATTCCTCAGTTAAGCCAGCTGCCAGTTAGCCTGGGAGTTCGTTAACTCACTTCCTACCAACTATGTACTGTGGAAGTAGGTCTGTCACAAGCATTTTGATCTTATTTTAGGGGGCAATGGTGGAGGGTTGTGTGAAGGCGGTGGTGGTAGAAAGGCTCTTCTCTCCCCAAGGGGCACAAACCCTTGGGGGGGGGGAAATCCTTTGAGGATTCAGTGGAATCATAGAATTGTAAAGTTGGAAGGGACCCTGAGGATCATCTAGTCCAACCCCCTGCAATGCAGGAATATGCAGTTGTCCCATGCAGGGGATTGAACCTGCAACCTTGGTGTTATCAGCGCCACGCTCTAACCAACTCAGCCATCAACGGACAGCTGCAAAAGATTAACCCCTGGTATCTTCATTTATTTATTTATTTATTTATTTTGAGTTTATGCATTTCACTAATTTTACAATCATCTTAACATTTCCAAACTTGACTTCCTTCCCCCTCTTTCTGCGGTTCCTTAAATTTCTTTTTAATATCTTCGGCATATCCAAATTACGTAACTCGCACATTTATTCATCTTCTTTCAAAGCTGCAGGTTATTACGAAAATCCTGCCAATGTTTTTATCTGTTTGCAATTTATCTGTAAATATTCAATAAGCCATTTCCGTTCTTTTATTTAAAAATTGTTATCTTGATTTCTTATTCTCCCAGTAAGTTTTGCCATTTCTGCATATTCCGTAAGTTTTTGTATGCATTCTTCCTTTGCTGGGACTTCTGCTTCTTTCCTTATTTGGGCAAGTTACATTCTTCCCGCTGTAGTCGCGTACATGAATAAGTTTCTATACAGTTTAGGTAGTTCTGTCCCTATAATTCCCAAAAGAAAAGCTTCTGGGGTTTGTTTGTTTTTAAACAAAGGTTATTTTAAACATCCTTTTCATTCCATTATATATTATTTCCCTGGCATCTTCAGATCAGTCTGGGAATATATCCAATCTGGAATCCTGGATAGTTGCCTCCAGAGAATATAGACAATATGTATACCAGGCATAGGCAAACTCAGCCCTCCAGATGTTTTGGGACTACAACTCCCATGATCCCTAGCTAACAGGACCGGTGGTCAGGGATGATGGGAGTTGTAGTCCCAAAACATCTGGAGGGCCGAGTTTGCCTATGCCTGACGTAAACAATATGAGATGCTGAGATTCCTGCATTGCAGAGGGTTGGACTGGATGATCCTTGGGGGGGGGGTCCCTTCAAACTCTGCAATTCTATGACTCTGTAACCAGTGTCTGATTTGGTATAAAGATGGGGGAAGATGGACTTGAATGTCCCCCAAGGTCCCTTTCAATGGTGTGATTTCTGGTGCTTACTGGTACCTTGGCCCAGTAGGAAGGCCTGGGGTCACCAAGACCTCAGCCACAAAATTGAATTTGCCAGTCAGGCGTGTTTTGCTCAGGGAAGCCATCCTCCTCCTCTCCCCCACTCCTTTTCCTTTTTTTAAAAAAAATATTTTTATTAACAATTTCAACATACAAACTATCAAAACATATCACATTCATTATTTTTTCCCTTTCCCCCTTCAAACCCTCCCCCCCCGAGACTTCCCTCAGCTCCTCTCTCTGATTTCTCAGCACATATTATTCTCTGCATGTTATAAAACTGTATATATCCTTACGTTCTCTATCTATCATGTTATCAAACCAATAAATTTGTGTATGTTTATTCAAACCCTCCCAAGGAGTCCAGTTCATTTTGTTGTCTTTTTAGATCATTTGTAAAAAGCTGCCATTCTTCCTGAAAGTCACAGTTGTCCTTGCCCCGCAGTTTGTATGTCAATTTAGCCAGTTCTGCATAACTCATCAACTTTTCTTGCCACTGTTCTTTCCTTGGGATTTCCTCATTCTTCCATCCTTGTGCTATCAAGACTCTTGCCGCTGTTGTAGCATACATAAATAAGTTCTTATTTTCCTTGGCAGGTCTTGTCCTAGAATCCCTAACAGAAATGCTTCTGGTTTTTTTTTACTCCTTTTCCAGCCTAATGCCTGCTTTTCCCCCCCTCCCTGGCATGGCGCAGGCTTTTGCTCAGCGAGGCGAGCTAATGTTTTAATGCTTTTCCCCTGTTCTTGCTTGGCTGATGCCCCTAGCAAGAAGCACGAAGCCAGAATCCTCCGCTTTAGATCAGACGACATTCTCATTTCCAACCTCTTTTTCTCTCCTTCCCCTAAAGCACACACCTGCCTAACCTCCTTGACTGTTTTTGGTATACGAGAGAGAGAAGGGGGAAATCCATCCATTTGCTTTCCTGATTCTTCCTCAGGAGCCGTAGCAGCCTCAAAACCTCCTCTTTCACTTTGGGTTTTCCCCCTGATCCCTTCCAGAGCTCAGGTATTGTTGTTGTTGTTTAGTCGTTTAGTCGTGTCCACCTCTTTGTGACCCCCTGGACCAGAGCACGCCAGGCACTCCTGTCTTCCACTGCCTCCTGCAGTTTGGTCAAACTCATGCTGGCAGCTTCGAGAACACTATCCAACCATCTCGTCCTCTGTCCTCCCCTTCTCCTTGTGCCCTCAATCTTTCCCAACATCAGGGTCTTTTCCAGGGAGTCTTCTCTTCTCATGAGGTGGCCAAAGTATTGGAGCCTCAGCTTCACAATCTGTCCTTCCAGTGGGCACTCAGGGCTGATTTCCTTAAGCATGGATAGGTTTGATCTTCCTGCAGTCCATGGGACTCTCAAGAGTCTCCTCCAGCACCATAATTCAAAAGCATCAATTCTTTGGCGATCAGCCTTCTTTACTTCCATACATCACTACTGGGAAAACCATGGCTGAGACTGGGGAAGGGGCGTGGCTCAGCTGAAGAACAGCTGCTTTGAATGCAGAAGGTCCCTGGTTTGCTTCCAAGACATTTAAAAAAAAGACTTAATTTTTCAGCAGTCTACTTAACGCCAAGGTAAGTTCGATCCCCATATGGGACAGCTGCATATTCCCTGCATTGCAGGGGGTTGGACTAGATGGTAGGGACGCAGGTGGCGCTGTGGTCTAAACCACCGAGCCTTGGGCTTGCCGATCAGAAGGTCAGCAGTTTGAATCCCCATGATGGGGTGAACTCCCTTTGCCCTGTCCCAGCTCCTGCCAACCTAGCAGTTCAAAAGCACACCAGTGCAAGTAGATAAATAGGCACCGCTGCGGCAGGAAGGTAAACAGTGTATCCATGTGCTCTGGTTTCCGTCACTGTGTCCTGTTGCGCCAGAAGCGGTTGAGTCATGCTGGCCATGTGCCCCGGAAAGCTGTCTGTGCACAAACTCTGGCTCCCTTGGCCTGAAAGAGAGATAAGCGCCGCAACCCCATTGACTGGACTTAACCGTCCAGGGGTCCTTTACCTTTACCTTACTATATGGTCCTATGGGTCCCTTCCAATGCTACAATTCTTTGATTCTATGTTCTACCTCGGCAGTCTGGGGTGGTCTGGTCCTGGGAGGAATCAGAAGTTGAGAGAGCTGCTGCTGCTGCACTGAGGTCCTGCTTTCAGGCTTCCCATTGAGGGGCTTGTGGCTGGTCACTGTTAAAATAGGATACTGGACTAGATGGGTCTTTGACCAGCTGCAGCCCTCTTCTTATAACCTTATGAGTATCAGAGAGGGAGGTCTATTGTTTTCATACCCTGCATGTGGGCTTCTGAGGGGGAACGACTTTTCTGTTTGGCCACTGGACTAAATGACCCAGCAGGGATGTCCCTATGACGGAAAAGAAATCCATTTTTTTGAAAAAGGATTTACTGTATACATGGAATTTGGTGGTTCTGACACAATTGATGTTTGCCCGCATTGGACTGTTTCTTTCTTCTGTCTGAGCTACTGTGCCTTTTTGCTTCTGGAAAGCCCTACTAACAAAATTACAAGCAAAAAAGGAAAAAGCCTATAAAAAGAGTCAAGCTCCGTGCAACACCATATTTCTGCAGCATAATTTTATAAATATTAATGCATAGGTGTTTTTACATGGCTGTGTGCACTGCCAATGCAGGCAATGATTCAGATAATGTGTGAGAATTGGTCATATTTTCAGCGGAACTGGTGGAAATTGTTTTTATCTATATAATTGTTATATATACACCCACACCCCTACCTGTGTGTTTTTATTGTATTGTGAAATTGCTTTGAGATGCTCTCTATAGGAAGCAATTCAGAGTTGAAATAAATACATAACTCACTTCTCATTGAGCTCAAGGAATGAGCTGGGCATCAGGGAGAGAGAGAGAGAGGGAGAGGGAGAGAGAGAGAGAGAGAGAAACCCATTTGACATTGGCATCTTCAGGCTTGTATGCTGTGTTGGCCTTTCTCAGAGTAGACCCACTAAAATCCATGGACCATAGTTATGTCAAGGGATGGGGGCAAATTTGATTTGGTGCACATTTAAAGGCAAACCACATCCAGTCCACACTTTCCAAAATGATAGGAGATTCACATTAGCCATCCTTCAAAATCCACACATTTCTGAATTTTGCAACGCAGTTCTCCAACGAAGCAATGTCTACAAAACTGAATATCTTTGGGGGCAAAGTGTCTGTTTAAATGCATATATTAGTGAAATGAACATGCAAATATGTGCTCTTTTAATGCAATTAGTTTGCTAAAAGAAAAAGAAAAGAAAAAAGTGTCAGGCAAAAATTGCATATGAATGTGTATCTGGTGGATTTTCATGAGGATTTTGAAACAAAAAATTCTAACAGCCTGGATAGCTCAGTTGGTTAGAGCGTGGTGCTGATAATGTCAAGGTTGCAGGTTCAATCCCTGTACGGGACAACTGCATAGTCCTGCATTGCAGGGGGTTGGATCTGATGATCCACAGGGTCCCTTCCAGCTGTACAACTCTAGGATTCTATGATGTGGAAATACAGGGAGCTGAATTCATGATTTGGGGAACTAGAAACTGAAATGGACAGATTCACTCATCCCTAGCTGTGTATTTTAATTTCAATGGGTCTGCTCTAAGTAGGGTTGGAACCTCAAGCTTTGAAATAATTCCGCCTGCCCCAGTGAGGCCACCAGTTGTTGGAAAGCACAGGAAGTTATCATGCTATTATCCTGCTCTGGTCAATGTTGCCAGTTTCCTATTAGATGTCTGGTCATCGACTGTGAGAAAAGGTTATTGGACCAGGAGGCCATTGGTCTGATCTAGCCGGGCTCTTCACACACACACACACACACACTTTTTTAAAATTAAATTTTCTGTTTTACAATTTAAAATACTCATTTTACATCCTTAAGATTGGATGAACTCATGGAGGAAAGGGCTGTTGATGGCTACTAGCCAGGATTGCGATCCTCTATGCTTCTGGATACCAGTTGCTGGAAACCACAGGAAGGAAGAGTGCTCTTGAACTCAGGTCCTGCTCGCTTTGGGGTTTTCTTCTTCTTCTTCTCCCTTCCCTTCTCTTCTCTCTTTTAAATATGATCTTTATTCAATTTTCCGTTCTACAATTTCAGATAAACACTTTACATACTTAAGGTATCAGTGACTCCTCTTCTTCTCTTTCCATGGTTCATTTTACATATGAATCCCTGCATATTTTACAAAAACTGTACCAATCAGTATTCCATTATTGCATCCATCAAAATTTATTTATCTTAATGCTGCCAGCGTTTTCAGCCGTACACAATTATTTCTCATATATTCAGTAAATGTTTTCCAATCATCTTTTAAACATATGTTCTTCTTGCTCTCTTATTCTATATGGTAAATCTGCAAGTTGTACATATTCTGTCAGGTTACCACTCTATAGGACGCACCCGACCATAGGACGCACCTTGTTTTAGAGAGGGAGAACAAGAAAAAAAAATTATCCCCCTCTGCTCAGCGCCCCTTCAGCGAAGCGGCAGGAGAAACGGAGCCCCTTCCATTTCTCCTCCCACTTGGCTGAAGGGGCGCTGCGCAGCTCTCCCTCTCTGCTCAAGCCAGGAGAGTCTTGCTCTCCCGGCTTCAGCAAAAGGAACCCGAAGCCTCCGGAGCGCAGTGGGAACTCGAGCTGTGCTCCGAAGGCTTCAGGCAGCTGTCCCCAATACTCTTTCACCCTTTTACAAGTCCACCACATATGAAAGAACGTTTCCTCAAGCTCTTTGCATCTCCAGCACTTATCTGATTCAGTCTTGTACACCTTAGCAAGAGCAAGGCTCTTTTTAGGTTCTTATGATGTTGTTTGCCTGGAGGTCCATCAAAAGACCTCGCAATGATCCCTTGCAATGCATCAGCTGGGTCTCAAGCAAATGTCTAAGAAATTTCTTGAGCATGATTCTTTCAGAAGTCTCACTTGGCCAGCAGCGTTCAGCTGCTGAAGTTGGATGCCGCACTTGTGATTTTACAAAACAGAAGGATCCTCTTCAGTAGTAAACACTTGAGCTAGGTAGGGCATGGTGCTGCCGTTGCTTCTAGAAAGATTTCATGAACCCTATCAGATGTGCGTCTCCATCCGAAGAAGGCTGGTGGATGCTTCTCCCTGTCTGGCAAGGAGCCATCCATCTTCGTTACCAGCTGGAACGGAAGAGTTGTTGTTGTTTATTTAAAGCCATTTAGAAATCTCTTCTTGTAAAGTATTTCAAAAGCAATTTTGCAATAAATGCATCAGCCATGGGGGGAGAAGGAACAATTACATATAAGAAAAACAATCCTAACTTTTCTGCTAAGAAACCCAATTAAAAATACTTTTATATGTAAAACACCCACAAAACTTCATATTTAATCTATGGAACAGTGGCAATGATGGCCACTGTTTCGGATGACTTGAAATCCGCCTTGGCAACAACAAAATGAATTGGACTCCTTGGCAGGTTTTGAATAAACATACACAAATTTATTGATTGTTAACATAGTAGATAGATAATATAAGTATTTATACAATTTTACAGTAGGCAGAGAAAAATATGAGTTGAGAAATCAGAGAGAGGGGCTGAGGGAAGTCTCGGGGGTGGGAGGTTGATGGGGAGGTGGGGTGAAAAATGGGGGGAAATAATGAATATGAGATATTCTGATATTTTGATATGTTGAAATTGTTAATAAAAAAAATTCTATAAAAAAAGAAATAAATCCGCCTTGGTGGGTAGCTCCGTTGATAGAGCATGAGACTTTTCATCTCAGGGTCAGGGGTTCAAGCCTCATGTTGGGCAAAAGATTCCTGCACTTCAGGGGGGTGGACTAGATGATCCTCAGGGTACCTTCCAACTCTACAATACTATGATTCTATGAAATGTGGATTAGACAAATTCATAGGCAGAAGCCTATCTAGGGCTACTAGCCTGGCTATGCTCTGCGTCCATGGTTGGAAGCAATAATGCTTCTGAATATCAGTTGCTGGAAACCGCAGTGTGATGGCCTGGGACTCAGGCTCGGACTTGGAACCAGAGGAGTCTCAGTCCGCACCAGATCCTCTGCCTCAGGCAGCATCTGAACCGAGTCTGGGGCCTGATTCTGAAGAGCCCCAGTCTGCACAGGTTCCCCTGCAACAAGCACCAGCTGGACCAAGTCAGGGGCCTGAGCCTGCCCTGGCTCCAGATGTGGGGATTACCTCGTTGCCTTCAGCTGGGCCATCACTTACAGCTGCTCCACTACCAGTTGGGTCAGGAGAGGCTGAGGCGGCCTCTGGGTCTAGTAACCCACCAACGTCTCCCGAGCTGCAGAGACTCAGGTCTGAGAAGAGGAGAGACCTGAGTACTCGCAGGAGGAGTGCTCGCCTTCGGGCGAGACAGGGAGGTGAGTCACCGGGGGATCAGGACCGGCCACTACCCCAACAAAGATAAAAGGCTGTCGGACCCCGCCCCAGGTTGCGGGAGCAACATTGCTGTTTGCCAGAACCTGCGTGACCTTGCCTGATTTTCTGCCTTGTGTCCTGCCTTGGCCCTGCCAGACTGTCTCCTCGTGGAACCCTTGGATTTGGGACTGGACCCGGACTGCATTACCCGGGTTACCCCCGGGCCCAGCACACGCAGGAGGGGAGATGGTTCTTGTGTGTGGGTGCTCTTTGCAGGTTTCCCATTGGGGCATCTGGTTGGCTGCCGTGAGAACAGGATGCTGGATTAGATTGGCCTGATCCAGCCGAGAACAACTTGGCTGGCTTTGGAAGAATTAATCCAAAATACACTTTCTCTAGGGAGCAGTTGGAGCTCTATCACACTCACAAATGTTCCAGAAAGATTCCTATATAATGAGAAGTTCTAAATAGATGAAGAGAACATGGACACATTTTGTTAGACACCCGCAGTTCTATTGACTGATTGCATTCGAATCGTAGCATTGTAGAGTTGGAAAGGGACCCCAAGAGTCATCTAGTCCAGCTCCCTGCAATACAGCAGCATCTGAATCTGAAGCAAGTGTCTCTGGAGCAGGGTTGGAGAGCTCAGAACTGGCCAGAAGCACGTTGACATTAGCAAATGCACAATTTTAAAATACAGAATAATAATAAAAATTAACTGGTTAGAATCAATCAATTAAAATATTTTGGAGCACATTTAGAACCAGCATAATTAAAGGCCTTTCTGGATGGGAAAGTCTCTGCCTGTACAGTGGTACCTCGGGTTAAGAACGTCATTTGTTCTGGAGGTCCGTTCTTAACCTGAACTGTTCTTAACCTGAGGCACCACTTTAGCTAATGGGGCCTCCTGCTGCCACCGTGCCACCGGAGCACGATTTCTGTTCTCATCCTGAAGCAAAGTTCTTAACCCGAGGTAATATTTCTAGGTTAGCAGAGTCTATAACCTGAAGCGTCTGTAACCTGAAGCGTCTGTAACCTGAAGCGTCTGTAACCCGAGGTACCACTGTAAATGGAAAGATAGCAAAGAGTGATTCAATGTAACCTTTCTCAGGAGGGAATCCCATGATATGGTTGCAGCCACAGAAGAGGCTCTCTTTCCTCTTTTCTCTTCCCTCTTCCCTCTTCCCTCTTCCCCTTTCCTCTCTCTCTCTCTCTCTCTCTCTCCCTCACCAACGGTGCCTCTCATGCTGAGAGGACCAAGACAAGGTGCTCACCTGAGGATCTTAGCACTCAGACAGATTTGCAGAGGGATATACGATCTTTCAGGCAGCATGGATAATAACGATAGTTATTAGTAATAATGGATGTAGATAGGGTATATAGGATAAAGGACAACTGAGAAAATGGGGAAAGAGGTGGAGGGGACAGAGAAGCAGGGAAAGGGGTGGAATTTTTCTCTCTGTGTGGCTTTCTTTTCTCTGGGAGGTTAAGTTGTAGAGATGGGGGGGCAGTGAAAGCTCAATCTTCTGGATTTTCTACAGCTGGTGTGCCACCCCCTCCTCAGACCCAGTTGCCTTCCAGGTCTGCACAAATAATTTCTCTTAGTGTGTGTGTGCACGTGTAAGATGCTTTTCCCTGGCTCTGCAGAGCCTTAAAAACAACTAATGAAGCAATTATTCCAATCAGTCTGGGAAATTGCAACAAGGCTGCAGGGATGATGACTTAGTCAATTTTGCCAGCAAAGAGGAGGAGGAGGAGGGGTGGGTGAGTGGGTGGGTTTATTTAAAGTCTCCAAGGACTCAGAAGCCTGCAAGGCCAGGAGGGGTTGTGAACAGTCACGGTGCTGATTTTCGGGTGGGGATGGGGGTGGAGTTTATCCAGGCCACTCATAATAATAATAATAATAATTTTATTTATACCCCACCCTCCCTGACCAAAACCAGGCTCAAATATATAACATATTAACATAAAATCAGGCAATCAAGTAAAATACATCCTAAAATCAGATCAGAATCAAAGTGAAATCCAATCAGATGGCAACCCACAGATTAGGGCTGGGGACCTTAAATGCTCACTGGCCTAACTGTTTGTACTGGTCTTATATGAGCCTGTGAAAAAAGTTGGAGGGCCACTTTCATACAAGTTCTTATAAGAAGAGAGAGGACCCCGACCAAAGGCCTGGTGGAACAGCTCTGTCTTGCAGGCCCTGCGGAAAGATGTCAGATCCTCCAGGACCCTGGTCTCTTGTGGCAGAGCATTCCACCAGGTCGGGGCCACGGCCAAAAAGGCCTTGGCTCTGGTCAAGGCCAGTCTAATCTCCTTGAGGCCTGGGACCTCCAAGATGCTGTTATTTGCGGACTGTAAGGTCCTCCGTGGGGCATACCAGGAGAAGCGGTCCCATAGGTATGGTGGTGGCTCGTGGTGGTTTGGACTGGTAGGGCATAATTGGCTGAGCCAGAGCCCAATGATAAGCAGAGATAACTCATTCTCATTTTTTGTCCCCATACTTCACCCTCCAAGTTCTACAAGAGGCAACAGGAGGAGGAAGCTGGTCACGCTATTGGCAGCTGCATAATCTGCAGCATGACGACAGTCTTACCTTTTTATGTATATAGGCAGATATGTATATACAGTGAGACCAGTAGGATGGAAGGCAGAGGGGCCAGCAGGAGGTGAAACCAGAGCCGGTGACAAGCAGAATGGATTCCTGCTTTCTCCTGGCTGAGTTCTATGAGGGGCAACATTGAGACTGAGGAGGAGGAGGAAGCTGACAGGCAGGGCCACCCCCATCCCCCCAGGGGTGTCTGTAAGCCAAGAGTCTGAGGGTCAGGAAGCCGAAGCACAGCTAGGTGGGTAGCTTGTTGCTGTGGCAAAGAGCTAGAGGGAACTGCTGGTTTTATATACCCCTCCCGGCCCTTGCCACCAGGTGCTACAAGTCTTCTGTCAAGCCTCACCTGTGCGGCCACGCCTTGCCCTTCCAGGCCAAACTCAGGAAGGCCCCAATCCTGCGAGGCCCTACCACTCACAGGGCCTGACTCCGGCACGCACTCCTGACAGTGGTTATGCAAATAATGTGCTTTATGTTGGTTGAAATCTTACATTGTGCCACCTCGTAATGCTCTATGCCTTTATAGTCATGCGATGTTTATGGATATTGATTATGTATTTGCTTTGGTGTCAAACATTTTTATTTTATTTCCTATGCCTGTGTACGTATGTGTGCATAAACATATAGTGATAGCTTTGCGGTCTTAAATAATAAAAAAATGGCTGCCCCAGCTGTGTGCTAAGACAGTGTTCTTCAAGCTTGAGTCCCAGATGTCAGTGGGCTACAAAACCCAGCATCCTCAGCCAGCTTAGCCAGTGGTCAGGGATGACATGGGTTGTAGTCCGACAGCTTCTGGGGACCCAGAGGCACAGCCTTGGGCTGAAGACTGGGGGCCCAGCAGTGTGCCATTTGTGTCTTTGACACCATGCATGCAACAGGTGTCTCCGGGAGGAGAACTTCCCCAGTGCTGTGCAGCTTAAGTGACCACAGCTCCTCCTCTCCAGGAGCATGCCCTGGTGCTGTGCTTAGCTTGGCGGTTTGGCCTCCTCTGCCCTGTCAGTATTGGGGGGGGGGGAGTTGAGCCCCCTGCTAAGGAATATTGAGGGGGCTGACAACACCTCTGCCCCCTAGAGTTGGCGCGCCTGCGGGGACCCAAAGTTGAAGGAGGCTGTGCTCTAAATGTTCAGCACTCTCAACATAGCTGGACTCCAACTCCCATTGGTCCCAGCAGGGTCAGAGATGATGGGAGTGGTAGTCTGAATGTCAGCAGATTCAGGGCAGATGAAAGAAAGGACTTCTTCATGCTGCTGCTGCTTCGACGATCCCTCATAGCCGAGTAAGATTGCCTTCCATGAACATGGTCTTAACAGTGAGTCCGTAAGTGACTGTGGAGGCCAATTCTAGATCCACACGTCCTTCCACAGTGGGGACATGGGTTTCCAGGTGGGAGTTGATCACGGTGAGGGCTTGCCAAGCATGCCTTCCTCTCAGCACGTTTCTCCCTTTCGTCCTGAGTTTGCACGTCTTCAAAGCCCGTGACATCTTTGCTAAAGGCTATAGGGACATGCTCTTGTGCTTGGATCCTGCTGGCAGGCTTCTCATAGGCATGTATTTAGCCACTGGGAAAACAGAATGCTGGACTAGATGGGTCTTTGGGCTGATCCAGCAGAGCTCTTCTAATTTATTTGTGTTCTTAAGCATTCCTAATAATTTTAAGAGGAGCCTTGCTAGATCAGAGAGGATGTGATGGCCTGGGAATCCGATTCAGAGGCTGAACCGGAGGAATCCCAGCCTGCACAGGAGTCCCCGCCTCCAGGGCCGGCTGAACTGGGGCAGGGCCTTGATTCTGAAGCGCCTGCACTTGTGCCGGATCCTCAGGAGCAGGCACCAGGTGAATCCACTCTGGCTCCGGAGGTGGTTGAGGACTCAGTGCCTACAGGTGAGTCTCCCCCTGGGTCCAGTAACCCTTCAGCCTCTCCTGAACTGCAGAGGCTCAGGGCAGAGAGGCGAAGGGAACTGGTTTCTCCCAGGAGGAGTGCTCGCCTTAAGGCCAGGAGAGGCAGGTCTCCTGGGGGCCGGGACCGCCCCTGGCCTCAGAGAAGATAAAGGCCAGTCAGTCCGGTCCCAGCTTGCGGGAGCAACGTCGTTGATGAGCTGTTTCGGCCAGCATCCAGTCCTGTTCCCCCAGAGTTCCTGTCCTTGCCCGGCTTCTCGCTGTGGACCCTGCTTTGCCCGAGGAGGACTGTCTGGCGACCCTCAACTCAGGTCCTGGACCTCGCCTCATGGTAACCTCCCCCCTGGACCAGCACAGTGGAAAACACTGTGCAGGATAAAGCGATCAATGGCTCCTAGCTGAAATCACCATATCTGCCTCCATGTTCAGAGGCAACTAGGTTCATGAATTCCAGTTGCTGGAAAGGAGCAGTGAGTGCTCTTGAATTCTGCCTGCGAGTTTCCTAGAAAATGGACCCTCAAGGTACCTTCCAACACTACAGTTCTGATTCCAAGATTTGATGAATCCAATGAAGGGCTCCAAGGAGAAAATTGGAGCGTTCTATTGTGTTTTAGTTTTGCTAAGCCTGCCTCTTGGAAGTGCTCAGTCTAGTGCCCTTGAGCAGGATCTGGCGGAAGCTTTTCCTTTTTTGAGTCTCATCCAAACTGGAGGCTCCCCCCCCCCTCCTCCCCCAACGCCTACATGCACAGGCACCTCTGCCGAGGGGGTAAAAAAAGAGGTGAAACTCCAAATTGCTTCTTGGCTGTGTTTCGAAATTGCTTGTGACTTTCAGGGTCAAGCTACAAAGCAGGCTTCTCCGGCACGGAAATTGTCGGGGGTGGGAGCAGATAAAGGATTTTGCTCGGGGGAAAGGAAGGCTCTCGGAGGGTGGAAGAAGTTCTTCCATTTTCAAGCTTGGAGGGACGGAGGCTGCAGGACTCGGGATATGTGGTAATAGGCTTGCAGAGCTGGATTTCTGCAAAGGCAGGTGCATGGGGGAAGAGCACAAGGTGGCACAGTGGTTAGAGTGCTGTCTCTCGGTCTGGTCTACAAATGCAGGAGAATACAGTGGACAATCGGGTTGCGAACGTGATCCATGCGGGAGGCACGTTCGCAACCCACAGCGCTGCATCTGTGCACACGCGGGTTGCGATTTGGCGCTTCTGTGCATGAGTAAAGCGCCATTTAGCACATCTGTGTATGTGTGAGTGCCGAAACCCGGCCAGAGGCCAACCAGAGAATATTGAGAAGCCAAGCAGCTAGTAAGCTTGATTTTTATTAAAGTGTCGCAACAGGGTCCCCCACAAAGAGAGGAACCCAGAACAATGGTGTGCAAGCTCTTATATAGACTTTTGAAACTGTCCACCCTGTAGCCAGAGACCCCCCCAAACAAACACCGTTTACCTTCCCGCTGGAGTGGTACCTATTTATCTACTTGCACTTTGATGTGCTTTCGAACTGCTAGGTTGGCAGGAGCAAGGACTGAGCAATGGGAGCTCACTCCGTTGCGGGGATTTGAACCGCCAACCTTCTGATCGGCAAGTCCTAGGCTCTGTGGTTTAACCCACAGCGCCACCCGCATCCCACATAAAGGAAATGGGAAGCAGCCCCCCCCCCCCTTATAATAATGGTATCTGCTTATTGCTACAATTTTATGGACGGATTTTCTGAGCCTCTTTGCTATTGTGTATGTATGGTGCCTGTGTCAACGATCATTGTCCTGGCCTTAGTTAGAGGCTGTGGTGGGAACTTTTTGGGGGGTGTCGTTAAACTGCCCCCCCCCCATTCCTGGTTTTAACAGGCGAGACCCATCCCTTGCCGCCTGTCAAGAGCATTGCTCTCCACCCCGTGACAAGCCATGGCGGGGCAGCTGGTGAAGGAAGGAGAAAGCTGTGGTTTTTGTCTGTGTGTGTTTGTTCCAGCATGGAGAATAAATAACAAGGTTATAAATACCGAAGGGGAGTGTGGGGAGGGGATGAGGAGAGAAAGATCTTCTCTCAGCCTTAATGAGAGGGAGAAAGGAGGCTTGATATATTTCATCCTGCAGCGTAAAAAATAAATTAAAAAAATCTCTTCCATGCCAGACAGTCTGGACAAGGCCACTAAACTAGATGCCTCGATGGGATAGTGATCCAAGCCATGAAGCAGAGGGGAGAAAGGATTCACTTCGGTGCCTGTAGGGATGGTTGAATGAATGATTGAGGGCTCCCTCTGCAAAGGGCTCAGAAAAGGAGTCAAATAAAAAAAGGGACAGAGAACAGAAGAGTCAAGGCTGCTGTCTCGATCTGGCAGCTTGCCTCTTTGTGGTGCTGAGACAGTTTGTAGAGGAGCATAGCGAGGGTACCTTTTTAAAATTAAATTGAATTAAATTAAATTATTTATTTAATTTAGGTATATACAACCCTTATAATAATTAGGTATATACAACCCTTCATCCAAGGATCACAGTGGTTTACAGTAAGTGGTGGAAATGTAAAGAAAAAGAAGGTTCTTTTTATCATAACTGGTGGTCTTGTAGTAAGGTTGACGCTTACTGGGAAATGATATATACAGTGGTACCTCGGGTTACAGATGCTTCAGTTACAGACTCCGCTAACCCAGAAATAGTGCGTCAGGTTAAGCACTTTGCTTCAAGATGAGAACAGAAATCGTGCTCCAGCGGCGTGGAAGCAGCAGGAGGCCCCATTAGCTAAAGTGGTTCTTCAGGTTAAGAACAGTTTCAGGTTAAGAACAGACCTCCGGAACGAATTAAGTACATAACCAGAGGTACCACTGTATAATGAATTGAAAAGGATGTTTAAAATAATGTTTGTAAAAAAACAAAAAACCAGAAGCTTTCCTTTTGGGAATTATAGGGACAGAACTGCCCCAACTGTACAGAAATTGATTCATGTACAGTCATACCTCGGGTTACGAACGCTGCGGGTTGCGCCTTTTTGGGTTGCGGACCGTGCTGAACCTGGAAGTACCAGAATGGGTTACTTCTGGGTTTTGGTGCCTGCGCATGCGCAGAAGCACAAAATGACATCATGTGCATGCACAGACGCAGCGCTTCAGGCTGCGAATGCTGCGGGTTGCAAATGTGCCTCCCACATGGATCAGTTTCGCAACCTGACTATAGCGGCAAGAATGTTACATGCCCCCAAATGTGAAGAATCAGAAGTCCCAGCAAAAGAAGAATGGATACAAAAACTTGTGGAACTGCAGTTTTATAAGAGTATATATTTAAAGTAGTTAAATAAATGAGTAAGTTAAGTTGGATATGCAGAAAATATTAAAAATTTACAGAACCGCAGAAAGAGGGGGAAGTCAAATTTTGAAATGTTAAAATGACTGTAAAATTATTGAAGTGTGTAAAACTGAAAATCATAAATAAAATAAAAAATACAGTATAGCATACCACCCAACATTTCTCCAATGAAAATATTATCATTAATAATATTTATAATAATATAATATTATTATATTAATACTACTACTACTGCTAATAATAATAATAATAATAATAATAATACCCTGGCCATCTGACTGGGTCGCCCCAGCCACATTGGGTGGCTTCTAACATATATAAAACATAAAAAACATAAAAAAATCTTCCCTATACAGGGCTGCCTTCAGATGTCTTCTAAGGGTTGTATAGTTCCTTTTCTCCTTGGCTCGGGGGGTCACATAACTCCATTCATGCCAACATTTCTCCAATGAAAATACAGTGGTACCTCGGGTTACATACGCTTCAAGTTATATACGCTTCAGGTTACAGACTCTGCTAACCCAGAAATAGTGCTTCAGGTTAAGAACTTTGCTTCAGGATGAGAACAGAAATTGTGCTCCGACGGCGCGGCAGCAGCAGGAGGCCCCATTAGCTAAAGTGGTGCTTCAGGTTAAGAACAGTTTCAGGTTAAGAACGGACCTCCGGAACGAATTAAGTACTTAACCTGAGGTACCACTGTAGGGATGTCCTAAGGAAAAGCGGGGCATTCCGGGATCAAATCAGAAACCAGGAGGGCTTCTGTAAATTCGGGACTGTTCCTGGAAAATAGGGACACTTGGAGGTTCTGACATATGAGAATTACCTTTGAGGATCAGTTTTTTTATTTTGGAGATCTGGGGCCCAAAGTTGTTGATGGAACCCCAACTCCCATCAGCACAAGCCAGCATTACCAAGAGTCCTCCTCCTCCTCCTCCTCTTCTTCTTCTTCTTCTTCTTCTTCTTCTTCTTCAGCGATCATGTAACTGATGATGGCAGTTGCAGTCTTTGATATTCGTTCCGTTTGTTTCAGGGACGGGAAACCTCTGCCCCTCCAGATATTGCTTGACCCCCCAGCTGCCTTGACCCCCAGCCAGCATGGGCAATAGTAAAAGAAAATGTTCGATATGGTCCAGCAACTTTCAGAAAGGCTCCTAGGTTTTTGTTTATTTGTTGCTGTTGTTTCAAATTGGTCTACCACCCACATCGAATTGGAACTTCAAGGTGGTTTACACAAATGGAAAAAGAACTGTTTGACAATGATACAGAAATATACGCCCGAAAGCAGCGGATAAAAGCATGATTGCAGATTTAGAATCATATCACATTTGGCCGTGGGAGATGCGCCAACTGCAATTTGAAGACTCAATTAAGAAGACAATTTTGGACACTTTTGCAGAGTTATTTATGTATAATGCACAGCTTTTGACATGACACGCTCTCCTCTTCTTGTGCTATTTCTATAGCTGAGTAATATTTTTTACTGGTGATGAGGTTATTAAGGCTATAATCTAGTATATATTGCCATTGCCCTCAGTAGGGTTTTTATTGGGTTCTACCGAAGGGTCATGGGTGGCGCTGTGGGTTAAACCAGAACCTAGGACTTGCCGATCAGAAGGTTGGTGGTTCGAATCCCCGCGACAGGGTGAGCTCCCGTTGCTCGGTCCCTGCTCCTGCCAACCTAGCAGTTCGAAAGCAAGTCAAAGTGCAAGTAGATAAATAGGTACCACTCTGGCGGGAAGGTAAACGACATTTCTGTGCACTGCTCTGGTTCGCCAGAAGCGGCTTAGTCATGCTGGCCACATGACCCGGATGCTGTACGCTGGTTCCCTCAGCCAATAAAGTGGGATGAGCGCCGCAACCCCAGAGTCCGCCACGACTGGACCTAATGGTCAGGGGTCCCTTTACCTTTACTGAGGATACCGTACCTGAGAGACATCAAAGATTTGGAGTTCTAGTCCTGGGATTGATGGGAGTTGTAGTCCACAACATCTGGAGGGCTGCTGTTTCTGCATCCCTGAATTAAAACATGGTTTGTCCACCAGACTATGAAACAAACCATGGCTTATTTCTCCAAAGTTTGCTTTGTTTTCCAACTGTTCTTGCCTCATTCCTTATTAGTTTGGTGTCTGAGGTGCAATGGTCAAGCACACCACAGTTAAGAATGGGTATTAGGTTCTCACGAGTCATGATTAAAGTAACCCAAGGCTCATAAACCAGAAACAAACCATAGTTTCAGATTGTGGTTTGTCAGCAGGAAACAACCCTTGCTTAAGCTGCTGGGCAATGTTCACACATAATGCTAAGCTACATTTGAATGCAGCACGGTTTAATAAGCTATGGTCTTGCATTAGAATAATAGAATTGCATAGTTGGAAAGGACCCTGAGAGTCACCTAGTCAAGGAGAACTACTTGAAAATGATTTACAGATGGTATTTAACTCCTAGTAGGCTTGCTGAGATGTATAAGACTGAATCAGATAAGTGCTGGAAATTGGAAGAGCTGAAGGGAACATTCTTTGATATGTGGTAGACCTGAAGATGGGTAAAAGAATATTGGGAAATACAGTGGTACCTCGGGTTACAAACGCTTCAGATCACAAATGCTTCAGGTTACAGACTCTGCTAACCCGGAAGTAGTACCTTGGGTTAAGAACTTTACCTCAGGATGAGAACAGAAATCGTGCGGCGGCGGCATGAGGCCCCACTAGCTAAAGTGGTACCTCAGGTTAAGAACAGTTTCAGGTTAAGAACGGACCTCCGCAACGAATTAAGTTCTTAACCAGAGGTACCACAGTAATCCATAATGAATTGAAAAAAATGTTTAAAAGTACAGTGGTACCTCGGTTTACGAATTTAATACGTTCCGGAAGTCCATTATTAAACCAAAGCAGTTCTTAAACAGAGGTGCGCTTTCCGTAATGAGGCCTCCCGTCGCCTGTGCCCTTCCACCGTTTGGTTTCCGTTTGTAGACCAAGGTAAAGTTCGCAAACCAGGGCACTACTTCTGGTTTTGTGGAGTTCATAAACTGAATAGTTAGTAAGCAGGGCTGTTCTTAAACTGAGGTACCACTGTACTTCCCCCCCCCAAAACCCTGAGCCCTTTCTGTGGGGGATAATTGGAAATTCCCAGGTGTCAAAAAAGTTTTTTTATGTATTCCACTACGGTGGCCTGTGTTTTGTTAGCCCCAAAATGGAAAATGAGCAACTTAAACTGATGGAATATGCGCAGCTTGTGAACCTAGCATATAGAATAAGAGAAGGGGAGAACATACGTTTAAAGAAGATTGGAAAACATTTATTGAATATTTTTTTGGGGGGGGGAATTGTGTACACTTGAAAACATTGGCAGCATTAAGATAAATTCAACAGTGTAAACAAGTTTTGATGGCTGTAATATTGAAATACTGAATGGTTTAGTTTATGTAAAATATGCAGAGATTTATGATATGTAAAATGAAACATGGAAAGAGAAGAAGGGAAGTCATTGATATTTTAAAATTGCTTAAATGAGTATTTTAAATTGTAAAACAGAAAATTTAAATGTGTGTGTGTGTTTGTAAAAAGATTATCTAGTTCAACGCCCTGCATTGCAGGAATATGCAGCTGTCCCACTCAACCTTGGAGTTATCAGTCCCTCGCTCTAACCAACTCAGCTATCCAGTTATGTGTGTTCTAAACAGAGGGAGGGGGGTTTGACCTTTTCGAATTTTATATGGTAATATTCAGTTATGCCACCGGAAGAACAGTTGCACTATGGTCCAAGGTCCTATTTTATTGCAGGGAATCAAATCCATAGATTCTAAAGTGTTCTATAGCCATGCCTGTACTCCTTAACATCATTTCTGTTGTAAGGGCTACACAAGCAGGACAGTGATAAGGAAGAGCACACATTTTATTCACACATTCTATGAGCAAGGATGTGGGCTCAAGGCTGAGAGAAATGGTTATGCAAAACACTAGGATGTGCCCAGACTTGTTCCGAACAGGAAAAACAATTAGTGCCTCTAGCAATGTCACACCTGTGGGGAAGGAAGCAGACGGAAAACTATTAGCGCGGGTGGCGCTGTGGGTTAAACCACAGAGCCTAGGGCTTGCTGATCAAATAGGTATCGCTCCAGCGGGAAGGTAAACGGCGTTTCCGTGCGCTGCTCTGGTTCGCCAGAAGCGGCTTAGTCCTGCTGGCCACATAACCCGGAAGCTGTACGCCGGCTCCCTCGGCCAATAAAGCGAGGTGAGCGCCGCAACCCCAGAGTCGTCCGTGACTGGACCTAATGGTCAGGGGTCCCTTTACCTTTTAATCCCATCCAAAAAGCAATGCCAACCTCTTAAGCTCACACCCTTTTCTCTTTCCTGTTGGCCTCCAGGTGTCAAGGATGGACACTGAGGATGACCCGTTGTTGCAAGATGCTTGGGTGAATGAGGAAGAGGAGGTAACCACCGGCCCCCGCAAGAGAATGGAAGGGCTCCAGCTCTGTGGGAAGTGCCAGTGGAATCCCAGGCCACGGACTCCGGCCACAGCTGTGCCTACCTCTAGTTTTTGGAATGCTGTGGGTTGGATCTTCACCAACCCCTACTCGGCCAGCCTCATCCTCTTCTTGGGCTGTGCCATCCCAACCACCCTAGCCATTGTCATGTTCCTGCATTACCCAGCTCTGGACATCGACATCTCGTACAATGCCTTCGAGATCCGCAACCATGAGTCCTCGCAGCGCTTTGACGCCCTGGCCTCTGCCCTCAAGTCCCAGTTCGGCTCCTGGGGCCGCAACCGCCGGGACCTGACGGACTTCAACTCGGAGACTTTGCAGAAGCTGATCTTTGAGCAGCTGCAGCACCTTCACCGCAATGCCTCGCGGCCGGCTGGCACTGCCAGGCGGAAGCGCAGAAGCCTAAACCAAGAGAGGACTAGCCCCTCACTCCAGAGTCAAACCGGTTTGGCCAATCAAACCTCCCGCCAGCCACGGAGCGCCCTGTCCCACTGGGAATACTCCAATGCAGTTGTGAGCACCAACACACAAACCCATGCACACTGGCGCATCGAGCTCATTTTCCTGGCCCGTGGAGACGCTGAGAACAACATCTTCACCTCTGAGCGCCTGGTCACCATCCATGAGATTGAGCGCAAAATCATGGACCACCCTCACTTCCGGGACTTTTGCTGGAAGCCCCATGAGGTCCTCAAAGATCTCCCACTGGGTTCCTACTCCTACTGTTCCCCTCCTAGTTCTCTCATGACTTACTTCTTCCCCACAGAGAGGGGTGGGAAGATCTACTACGATGGCCTAGGGCAGGATCTGGCTGACATTCAAGGTGAGAATTGTTGGGTCAGGGCACTGGCCCAACCATTGGGCAGACAAAATGCTTTGCTTTGAGATATCCAGCCAGTTGTTGGTGCTCTTGGGATCTCATATGGCCTTGCAAATAAGTTCATAAAAGCTTGCCAGGCTATCAGTTCCTGCTGTGTTTATGCCCTCATTAAAATCTTTCCTGGTTTCCTGGTGAGGAAAATGTGGTACTCCAAGTGACTGTGTTATGCCACTAGGTGTCACTATAATGCACTTGGCACAGCTAGCATATCTCTCTTGCTCCCTGCAGACACAAGGGTTGGATTTTTGCCCTACAGCAGGGGGTGGGGGAACATCTGTGGCCCTCCAGATGTTGTTGGACTCTATCAGCACCAGCCTCAATGAGGGAGCCTGTTGTGGGGGCGCCTGGTTGTGCCCCCTCAGAAATGTGTGCCTGGCACCATAAGCCCCCTGGAAGCTACCCTAGACCAAACTAGAGCATTGGTTCAGTATTATCTACACTGACTGGCAGTGGCTCTGGGGGCAGGTTCTCTTTTCCAACCCTACCTGGAGTTGCCGGAGACCTTTTGTAATGGTTGGTTCTCTCCCACAGAAGCAAAACAACTCCGGCAGTAATCAACTCAGGTTTATTGCTCAAAACACACAAATCACTCTGAAGCTCAGTCACTCAGCATCTGCTTCCAAATTAGCTGTTGCCGAGTCTGAGTTACGCTCCTTCCTCTTCCCACATTTAAAGCCCCACTTTCGCTTCCTTTCCTGTTCACGCCTCTCATTAATTATTGCGCGCCTACGCGTCATGGGATGGGCTATTTCCAGTGGCCCTCCCTCTGAGTCCGAGCTTAAACTGTCAGTCTGCGTCTTCCCCCTTGAACTCCCCCCTTCCTTCTCCATGTTCTCAGAGCTCAGGCTTCTACTGCAATGCGCTCCATGTGGGGCTACCTTTGAAGGTGACCCGGAAACTACAGCTAATCTAGAAAGTGGCAGCTAGACTGGGGACTGGGAGCGGCCACTGAGACCACATAACACTGGTCTTGAAAGACCTACACTGGCTCCCAGTACGTTTCTGAGCACAATTCAAAATGTTGGTGCTGTCCTTTAAAGCCCTAAACGGCCTTGGTCCAGTATACCTAAAGGAGTGTCTCCACCCGCATCGTTCTGCCCGGACACTGAGGTCCAGTGCCGAGGGCCTTCTGGCGGTTCCCTCGCTGCGAGAAGCAAAGCTACAGGGAACCAGGCAGAGGGCCTTCTTGGTAGTGCCGCCCGCCCTGTGGAATGCCCTCCCACCAGATTTCAAAGAGAAAAACAACTACCAGACTTTCAGAAGGCATCTGAAAGAAGCCCTGTTTAGGGAAGCTTTTAATGTTTAATAGACTATTGTATTTTAATATTCTGTTGGAAGCCGCCCAGAGTGGCTGGGGAAACCCAGCCAGATGGGCGGGGTATAAATAATAAATTATTATAATATTATTATTATTAACTAGGCTGCTCCTCCCTCGTTCCACATTCCTGCCTAATTACCTCCTCCTGTCTCTCTATGCTCTCCCCCTCTGTCAGCAATGGGACGCAGCTGACACTTTCTGTTCTACCCCTGAGCCAGGGTCTCATACAGAGGCCTCCTCCATCACTTGCCACTTGGTCCTTTTAACTGGAGATGGCAGGGGTTGAATCCAGGACCCTCCAGCATGCAAAGCTGGTGCTCTAATACTGAGCCACAGTCTCCCTCTGAAAACCTCTGATCTCTCTCTACGTGCCCCAAGGTTCGCTGGAGCTTGCAATGACCCACCCAGAGTTCTACTGGTATGTGGATGAGGGTCTGTCAGTGGAGAACCGGAAGAGCTCCCTCTTGCGCAGTGAGATCCTCTTTGGCGCTCCGCTGCCAAGCTACTACTCAGTGGAGGACCGGTGGGAAGAGCAACGGAGCAAGTTCCAGAGCTTCGTGGTCACCTACGTGGCTTTGCTGGCCAAACAATCCACCAGGTAAGCAAGGAAGGTATTTCGGTTGCGAGTGCAAAGCACTTCCAAGCTTCCCCCAACCCACTCTGCTTTTTTGCTGGAAGGAACCATAATATCTGAAAGAGCCTCTACACCCCCATCATTCAGCCTGGACACTGAGGTCCAGCCCTGGGGGGCCTTCTGGCAGGTCCCTCACTGCAAGTGAGGTTACAGGGAATCAGGCAGAGGGCCTTCTCAGTAGTGGCGCCTGCCCTGTGGAACGCCCTCCCACCAGATGTCAAGGAAATAAACAACTACCTGACTTTTAGAAGACATCTGAAGGCAGCCCTGTTTAAGGAAGTTTTTAATGTTTGATGTTTCATCGTGTTTTTAATATTCTGTTGGGAGCCACCCAGAGTGGCTGGGGAAATCCAGCCAGATGGGCAGGGTATAAATAATAAATTATGATGATGATGTTGCTGCAGCCCTTTGTCTGGTAGAGGAGGGTCCATTAAGTCCTCCAAGTTCCAAAAAGTGAAGTGTCTAGTCCTCATGGAGACATACAGACTCCAAATTTAAGGACACAGAGCCTCTCTTGTGGGTGCTCTTGAGATGAGGCTGTTTTGACTTTCTGAGACTAGCAGGCAGTGTTAGCCGCTCCATTAGGGAGGGTGCCAGCCACCGCTGCATTTGAAGTCCCTTTTTCCTTTGTCTGGACAGGGTAGGCCACTCGTCTCGCCCACCTCCTGCCCCATCAGGATGGGCCTTGCCTTTTGGCAGCTGCTGGAGGGCAGGCAGCATGACCCTAGACTGGCCCGCTGGCCTTGGTGGGCAAGGAGATTTGATTTCCAGCAGCTGGTATTCAGAAGCATTGTTACTGGCAGGGCCTGGCAAGACACAGACGAGTGTGCATTGGGGTAAGGGGGTGGGGGCTGGAGTCTGACTTGGGAGAGGTGGGGCAGTGATTTGGGGGGGGGGGGACCTGTACCAGCCAGGAGACGAGAATTGGAGACAGGGAGTGGAGGATGGAGTGCAGGAAGGGTCGGAAGAAGAGGAGGAAGAGGCAGGGCTAGGAAATGAATGGTCAGGGATTCCCCCAGCCTCTCCTGCACCACTGTCTCCCAGCTTCCACAGGGGCGCAGCCTCCACCTGGGTCCATGCAACCTGTTGGGAGAGGTATATAAACAGGGGGAGGTGGAGCAGCCCCCAATTGCTGCAACTGCTGCATAGAGTTCAGACCTGGGAATAGCTGTTTTGTGCATGGTTATTTGGAGCCGTAGAACTCCAAAGTGTCTGCTTTTGACAATGAACAGCTAACTGTTATGGGCATTACTTTGGCTGGGGAGTGCCTTTGACAGTTGCCTCTGACTAGGGAGGAAGAGCAATGTCACCATGGGTAGCAGCCACGGAGAGCCTCCTGCTTTGTGATGGCCAGGGAGGGCAGTGGGAATGAGAGGCAGATAACCTCAAACCTACTGGCTCAGTGTGGCCCTCCAGAGTTCTCTGTCCGGCCCACAGGACTCTCCCCAGCCACACCTCTCACTGACCCTGTTTTGGCCCTTCCTTGAGGGTTTTTGGGTGGCTGGGATGCACTCTTGAACTCTGCTAATGCTTCTTCCTTGCACGAATGGAGGATCGAGAGGGATGGAGGAAAGAGGATTGAGGCTGGGCACAGTGCTTGAGGCAGATCTGGCAAGGGAACAGGCGAGGGAACAGGCTCTTTTCTCTCTCCTGCTCTCCTGCGGTTCAGACTTTATCAGCTCTCTCATTTTAATTATCTGGGATTAGCTTTGCTTGAAGACTCTTTTTGCAGGCGAGCTGGGCAATCGGGGTGTGTGTGTATCACAGCTCTCCACGTCGGCCACTCCATCTCCTGAATCCTCTCACTTATTTTCCTCCCCCGTGCGGTTTAATATAATGAAAATACCGATTAGGATTCCAGGTGGGATCCATGGCTTTGGGAGTCAGCAAGCTAAGCTTCAGAGGGAAGTGGGGGAAAGAAGCAATAAGACTCTTCTCTTGCTCTCAGCAATCGCTCTCTTGAGAGTGTAATCCTGCTGCTCTCAGCTGGGAAAGGATGCTCTCTGCAATGGGAGGAAGGCAGAGAGGGCCGGCAGGGAGCAGAGATAGAGCCATCGACAGGACTCCTTGCTGGGTTATCCAAGGGCAACACTGAGACAGAGGAGGGAGAGGAAGACGAGGAAGGCAACCATGCTGGGCTGGGTGTAAGTAGGAAGACCAGCAGCTGGGGGCCGGCTGAGATCCAACTGAGGTTGCTGGGGCAGTTTTTAATAAATAAATAGACTATATTGGTGGGTTGGCTGAAGGCAGACATGAGACGGATAAGGCAGTGCTGCATTTGCCACAAGGCAGCCTCCCACAGGTTTTCTCTAGCTGAGATCTTCCTCTGACCCACCAGTCAAGAGTTGAGTCAGGGTTAGCTGCGGGACAAAATGGGCGACGAAAGCAATGTGGCCCCTATTTTTAGCACTTGTAGGCTGACTAGAGGGACGCGGGTGGCACTGTGGGTTAAACCACAGAGCCTAGGACTTGCTGATCAGAAGGTCGGCGGTTCGAATCCCCACGACGGGGTGAGCTCCCATTGCTCGGTCCCTGCTCCTGCCAACCTAGCAGTTCAAAAGCACGTCAAAGTGCAAGTAGATAAATAGGTACCGCCCCAGCGGGAAGGTAAACGGCGTTTCCGTGCGCTGCTCTGGTTCGCCAGAAGTGGCTTAGTCATGCTGTATGCCGGTTCCCTCGGCCAGTAAAGCGAGATGAGTGCCGCAACCCCAGAGTCGGTCATGACTGGACCTAATGGTCAGGGGTCTCTTTACCTCTTTAATACTTTTGTTCCTGACTCCAGGTCACAGGCTCACCCTATTCATACACAAATGTGCCCTTGAGACAGGATTTGCAAGCAAAAAGGCAATGGGAAGGCTTTCCCCATTTGCCTCCCTTACTGCAGAGGAATATCTGAGGTCATTGGGAGAGTCAAAATGGCTTCAGGATTGCTCTCCCATACTATTACAGACACGCGGTTCATATATTTAGATATGTCTGCCTTTATGAATATTTATTCTGTATTCGGAACCTTAAATTCTTATAAGAGTATTCAAAAGTGAAGATGGTAATCATAACTCTCCCCCCCCCCCGTTTCTTCCTAGCAAAGTCCAGGTGCTGTATGGTGGGACGGATTTGTTTGACTACGAAGTGAGGAAGACGTTCAACAATGACATGTTGCTGGCTTTCATCAGCAGCAGCTGCATTGCAGTGTTGGTCTACATCCTGGCTTCCTGCTCAGGTAAGCTATGTCGGGAGCCACTTCTGGCGAACCAGAGCAGTGCACGGAAATGCCGTTTACCTTCCTGCCAGAGTAATACCTATTTATCTACTTGCACTTTGACACACTTTCGAACTGCTAGGTTGGCAGGAGCAGGGACCGAGCAACGGGAACTCACCCCATTGCAGGGATTTAATGCGCTGACCTTCTGATCAGCAAGTCCCAGGCCCTGTGGTTTAATCCACAGTGCCGTGACACATTCTAAAACCCAGAGAGAACCTCAGCAATTGTATAGTCAATCTATCCGGAAGATAAATTGTATATCAAAGAGTTAGTGATCTGACACTGGTTGCCCTTCCTGCCCCTGTTCCTTCCCCCTCTCCTTGTCTCTTAAGTTCTTTGATGGCGTGAGAACAGCCTACAATGTCCTAATCAGTTAGGAGGAAGAGATAGTGATGAGTACCTTCTTTGATGTTGGACACTGTTTTGAGAAAGTGAGGCATTGGGAATACTACTTGCAATAATCTGCAAGTAGCCAGTAATGAATGATCTGCGCGTAGCCAGTCAGGCAAGCCACAGGCTAGCTATCTAGCTATCTATAATGGTTTGGGCACAGTTTCTGAGAAGCTTGTGCACGGACTGATTGGCTGCGGGACCATGCAAACTAAAGGCTACCTGGGGGAGTTACTTTGCCACTTTTTGAGGGCTCCCAAGTGCTTGCTTGGTATGTATATATTGCTTGCTCTTTAGAATAAAATCTTTAATCTCACTCACTTGTGTTTTGCGTTGCTGCTGAATCTAATTTCAAAGGAACCACCTTGCATTTGGCAAGGCAGCAATCAGGAGACCATCTCCTAATATTAGCTTCTGTGGATGAAGCTGGCAATTTCTGGACTGTTAACCAGCAACTGGGGAGACAGAGGAACGCTTGGCCAGCAGCTGTAACAATATAGTTCCCCATCACCTCAGACACAAGGCTTTCCATCTGTGTGTTCACAAAACCAACTGTGACACTTGTGGGCATGCATGTGTGAATCCGCTTTTGGGGCGTTCTCTGTGCAAAGTGGTTTGCTTGATCTTTCGCTCTCTCTTCCGCCTCTTCCAGTGTTCCTCTCATTCTTTGGGATCGCTAGCATCGGGCTCAGTTGCCTTGTGGCGCTTTTCCTGTACCACGTCGTCTTTGGGATCCAGTACCTAGGAATCCTGAATGGTGTGGCTGCTTTTGTGATTGTGGGGATTGGTAAGTGGCCTAAACCTACCCAGATGTCAAAAACCAGGCTGTGGCTCAATAGCAGAGCATTCCCATTGCATGGAGAAGGTCCTGGGTTCAATCCTCAGGATCTCCAGGGATCCCCTTGCCTGAAACCCTAGAGAGCTGCTGCCATGGGTAGGCAAACTAAGGCCTGGGGGCCAGATCTGGCCCAATCGCCTTCTAAATCTGGCCCACAGACAGTCCGGGAATCAGCATGTTTTTGCATGAGTAGAATGTGTCCTTTTATTTAAAATGCATCTCTGGGTTATTTGTGGGGCCTGCCTGGTGCTTAAAGTTTGCTGACCCCTGGTGTAGACCATACTGAGTTAGATGGACCAATTGGCCTGACTCAGAATAAGGCAGCTTCATATGTCCCAGTGTCTTAAGAGGATGGCTGTAGGTCACCGGCAGAGCACCTGCTTTGCATGCAGAAGGTCCCATGTTCAATCCCCAGCATCCTCAGGTAGGGTTGGGAAAGACCCCTGCCAGAAGAGCTGCTGCCAGCCAGTGTGGACAGTACTGAACTAGATGGACCCAAGGGTCTAACTTGGCATCAGGTCACTCAACGCAGGCACAGCTTTAACCATCAATACACAGAAAACTTTATCTTGGAACAGACCTGGGCAACAGCTCACTTGGCGATAGACATTCATAGTGGGGTAGGTTTTAATCTTGTGGAGCCTGACATCAGCTGAAGACCATGCTGGTTGATTCCTAGCAGGTTCTGATTGATCCCTTCTTCTCTGTGTGATCTCAGGTGTGGATGACGTGTTTGTTTTCATAAACACCTACCGGCAGGCCACACACTTGAAAGATCTCCACCTCCGCATGGTCCACACCATCCAGACAGCTGGCAAAGCCACTTTCTTTACCTCTTTGACCACAGCTGCAGCGTACGCAGCCAACATTTTCTCCCAGGTAAGCATTTTCAGGAGAGCTTTGCTTATAACTTTGAAGGAAGTGGAGCTTGCCCGTGGCAATGCCACAATGAGGAAATAATACAACACAAGCATCACCGCCCCTCGCATAAAGGATAAAAAAGTGATGTCCAGGGTTGTAAAGACTGTGGAGAGAATAATTGGGTGCACTCTTCCCACCTTGGATCAAATCTATGCTTCCAGGTGCCATAAGAAAGCTGCAGAGATAGTGCAGGATAGTGCGCACCCCGGAAATGATCTTTTTCAGCTTCTGCCTTCTGGAAGAAGATACAGGGTTATAAAGACTAGGACTAGCCGCCTGAGAAACAGTTTTTATCCAGATGCGATTTTGGTTTTAAATGCAGTGTAAGGTAGTCTCTGTGGGAGTATATTGTATTTAATTATGGGGTATCAGAGTTTTTAGGGGGTTAACCAGACTGGAATAGCTAGGATAGCAGGCTTGTTGGTTTTTGAATGTCTGATGTAGATTTTTTCAATTTCGTTGTTCTTTATGGGACAATGACAATAAAGATTATCATATCGTATCGTATCATAATGGTTTAAGGAATCGACGTTTAGTCTGAAGTCAACAGCCTGTGTTTTGTTCAGGCGGCTGCTTTCCTTTCACTTCTTTTCTTCATCTAGCTCTCCTGCAAATGCACTGAGGCATTGGTCTGCCTCCTCAGTTCTGGCACATTTAAAATGAGCTTCGTTCTCCCCCGTCCCCCTTTTCAACTCCAGGTCCTCCAGTTCTGCCTTTCCTTTTCCTCTCCTCTGCCCACCTGCTTTCCCTCGCCAGATCCTTCTAATCTCTTTCTTCCTTAACTTTTGTCCAGGGGTCCCCAAACTACCATATTTTTTGCTCTATAAGACTCACTTTTTCCCTCCTAAAAAGTAAGGGGAAATGTGTGTGCATCTTATGGAGTGAATACAGGCTGCGCAGCTATCCCAGAAGCCAGAACAGCAAGAGGGATTGCTGCTTTCACTGCACAGCAATCCCTCTTGCTGTTCTGGCTTCTGAGATTCAGAATATTTTTTTTCTTGCTTTCCTCCTCCAAAAACTAGGTGCATCTTGTGGTCTGGTGCGTCTTATAGAGTGAAAAATATGGTAAGGCCCAAGGGACTTGTTTATCTGGCCCGTGGCAACCGCTGCCTGCTCTTACCGGTGCAGCGCTGCACAGCTGCCCACTTCCAGGTCAGAGGAGCACCGGAAATAGCTTGTGCGCATGCGCAAGTGTTATTTCTGGTGCACATCTGGGTCGGAGGAGGCCCATGCACATGCATTTTGATTGGCAAGCCCTAGGCTCAGTGGTTTAGACCACAACGCCACCTAAATGCAAACAGAATTGAAATCCGCCTCCATCTCTCCTTTCTCCTGCAGATCCCCGCTGTCCACGATTTTGGCCTCTTCATGTCCCTGATCATTTCCTGCTGCTGGGTGGCAGTCCTCTTCATCATGCCTGCAGCCCTTGGGGTCTGGTCCCTCTACTTGTCGCCCTTGGAGAACGCCTGCCAAGCCAGGTGAGGTTCATTGACTGAGCTGTCAGAGGAGAACTTGCAGAGGGCAGCTGGTCACATGGCCTAATGGCTGAACAACTGTGATATCTGAGAGCCAGTGTGGCATAGTGATTAGGGTGTTGGACTAGGACTTGGGAGACTAGGGTTCAGATCCCTACTCTGGAGGGGAGCTCAGTGGGCTACTGGGAGCCATTCACCGCCTCTCAGCTTAACCCTGTGGAAGAGGCATGGTGACAAAAGGGACCCCATGTTGGTTTTCATCGAGACCATATAACACCGGTCCTGAAAGACCTACATTGGCTCCCAGTACATTTCCGAGTACAATTCAAAGTGTTGGTGCTGACCTTGAAAGCCCTAAACGGCCTCAGCCCAATAGACCTAAAGGAGCACCTCCACCCCTATCGTCCAGCCCGGACACTGAGGTCCAGCTCTGAGGGTCTTCTGGCGGTTCCCTCACTGCGAGAAGTGAGATTTAAGGGAACCAGGCAGAGGGCCTTCTCGGTAGTGGCGCCCACTCTGTGGAACGCCCTCCCTTCAGATGTCAAGGAAATAAACAGCAATCTGACTTTTAGAAGACATCTGAAGGCAGCCCTGTTTAGGGAGGTTTTAATGTTTGATGTTTTATTTTGTTTTTAATATTCTGTTGGGAGTTGCCCAGAGTGGCTGGGGAAACCCAGCCAGGTGGGCGGGGTATAAATAATAAATTATTATTACTATTATTATTATTGTTATTATTATTGATGCCTAAGGAAAGCACACCTATTCAGCCTCAAAAACCTGTCTGAAAAAGAGGATGCAATAATATTGGCCTTCCCTGCAAGGTCGTTGTAAGGCAGGGGTTGGGAGCTTGTGGCACTCCATATGTTTGTCAGGGATTGGTTGGACACAGAGGGATGGTTGGTGAAACCAGATGGGGAACCACCAAGGGAAAGAAGCTCAGAGGCCGGGGAGTGGTACTGGGATGATGCTGAGTAGTCAGATGGAGAAGACTAGGGAGAGGACGTGTCGGAAGATGAAGAGGTGGCAGAGTTTAGTGAGCTGGGAGAGTCTGTAGCAGGAAAAGTCCAGGATCAGAGGTGGAAGCTGAAGCAGGGGAGGTGGGAGATGAAGAGGCAGAGATGAGCTCCCTTCCCTCCTTGTCTCCCAGAACCAGAAGAGGCATGAAAAGGGCGGAGCAGAGGTTGGCTGCCTGCAGGTGTAGTCCTCAATTGCTTGGGGAAAGCCCTGGAGAGGAGGGGATTTAGAGGCCTGCGGGGAGGCAGGGATTTTTAATCTTGGCAACTGATCCGTGGGGCAAGATCTACCAGGCTGTGCTCATTAGGCCTGACACTCCACCAAGTCAGTGCAGATCGTGTTCTTGCTAATAAAGAGTTAACTCCAACTTGCACAGTGTGATTTGCTGCCGGCTCACCCCAGACAACTGTTGCTGGACTGCAACTCCTTTCATCCCTGAATATTGGCACTGCCAGCTGGGGTTGATGAGACCCCCACAGTCAGAGGCAGCGCTGCTTCTGACTACCAGTTGTTGGTACCCTCAGGAGGGGAGGGTGCTCTTGTGTTCGAATCCTGCTTGCAGGTTTCACATAGGCATCTGGTTGGCCACTGTGAGAACAGGATGCTGGACTAGATGGGCGATTGGCCCGATTCAGCACTTCTTATGCTCTTAGTTGGAGTCCAACAACATGAGGAAGGCTGCAGGTTCTCCATCCCTGCCTCCCAACTGGCTGGACTCCAGCTCCAATTAGCCCCGGCCGGGGACCCTGTGCCACTTCAGGTGTTGCTAGACTACAACCTTCCCCCATCCATAGCTGTCAACTTACAGATTTGAAAATAAGGGATCAGCAGCCAAAATAAGGGTTTTTAGTCAACCAGCTGAAATGCGAAGTTAAAAGGGACCAGATAATTTTGGAGAGCAGCGCTGGTTTTTAGCCCTTCATTTCCAGAGGTTGCTGCTCAAGACACCAGCTGATGAAACACTGCAATTAAATAACTACAAGCAGCAACCACTTTTCGCGCAAAACAAAGTCCAAGCTACGAAGATGCTGCTGCAGTTCTGTATCTTTTCTCTCGTGCTCCATCTGCAGCTCTCAGTTCCATTAGGCGGGGCGGGAGGAGAGGGGGGGAAATAGCGCCCAAAGTAAACCCGCAAATCAGACCATCTATGCTAGTCTACCACTACAAATCTATGGGAGAAGCGCTTGCGGTCCTTCCTCCGCTTTCCCCCTCTATAGTTAGCCCTTGGAACACCTGCCCGCGACTCTACCTCCGCCTCCTCCTCCTCTCTCTGAACTGCTTTCTCTATGGTTGCCCTCACTCTCCTCTCAAGGCTCCCCAGCAATTCATAGGCCGCGCCAGGCTGCCCATCTTATCCGGGTCCTTCGGTGGCGCAGCCGCAGTACAGCCTAGCGGGAGCGGCAGCGACAGGCAAAGGGGAGGGCCCAGGCAGAGAAGCTCAGTTTGGCGGCCACGAGGAGGATGGCGGCGGAAGGGCCCGAGGCTCCTGCCAGTCCCGGTGGGGAGGGGCTCCCAGGGGCCGAGGCTAGTGAGAGGAGGCCGGAGGGGGGCGGGGCGGGCAGCCAAGCAACACAGTTGGAGCCTCCCTCCTCCATGGCTGGCAGGGAGGGAGGGAGGGAGGGAGAGGAGCTGCTTCCTTTGAAACCTGGGAAATTTAAGGGACATCATCAATAAGGGACAGCAGCGGGACATGGCTCTGGGATAAGGGAGTTTCCCGCAAAATAAGGGACAGTTGACAGCTATGCCCCCATTCCTCTTGGCTCTTGGCCATGCTGGCTGCAGGCTGGGGGGGTGACTTGAAAGAAGCTGGAGTCCAGCAACATCTCGAGAGCATCACAGATTCCCCATTGGTGCTGCAAGGATCCAGCAAGAATGTGTGAATTTTTGCATGTCTCTTTCTCAAACCCTCTGGCGCAACAGCAGGGGAAATTGCTTGCATATCAAGTGCACCTGATGCCTGGCTCTGAGCACGACCCTTTCCCGATCCGCTCTATCTGCCCTTGGCTGTGTCGACAATGACGAGCCGCAGGTGTTTTGCAAGGGGCAAAGTGCTCTGAGATGCTCACTCGGCACCCATCCCTCCCTCTCCCGCAGCTGCAGCCAGAAATGCGTGAAGCCGAATTCCCTGCATGTTTCAGATGGGCTGTTCATCTCCTCGGAGGCTGCGGGTGGTCCAGGGCCAGGCGGCCTTCCTTACCTGGACGACGACATCCCCTTGCTCAGTGTGGAAGACGAGCCAGGTAGGCAGTCCCTGGGAGGCAGGGCTGAGCTCAGTGTCCTTTTTAAAAAATAAATAAAAAATCCATACAATACATGATCATACAAAAGAGCTGTAACATAACCGTAACAATGAACGGTTTCCTTACGTTACAATAATGTTTATTGCCATTGTCCCATAAAGGTAAAGGGACCCCTGACCATTAGGTCCAGTCATGACCGACTCTGGGGTTGCGGCGCTCATCTCGCTTTATTGGCCGAGGGAGCCAGCATACAGCTTCCGGGTCATGTGGGTAGCATGACTAAGCCGCTTCTGGCGAACCAGAGCAGTGCACAGAAACGCCGTTTACATTCCCGCCGGAGCGGTACCTATTTATCTACTTGCACTTTGACGTGCTTTTGAACTGCTTGGTTGGCAGGAGCAGGGACCGAGCAACGGGAGCTCACCCCATCGCGGGGATTTGAACCACTGACCTTCTGATCGGCAAGTCCTAGGCTCTGTGGTTTAACCCACAGCGCCACCCGCATCCCTACTCATTGTCCCATACAGAACAACAAAATTGAAAATCTACATCAGACATTCAGAAACCAACAAGCCTGCTATCTCAGCTATCCCAGCCTGGTTAGCCCCCTAAAAACTCTGATACCCCATAATTAAATACAATATACCCCCATAGAGACTACCTTACACTGCGTTTAAAACCAAAATCACATTTGAATAGCAACTGTTTCTCAGGCAGCTTCAACTTAAAAGAGAAAATTCACTTAGAAGAGTTGCAAATGGGGATACCTACCTATGATGAAACTTGGCCTCCCTCCTTTTCATATGTAAGGGGGAGAAAGAAAGTAAAGCTCTCCCGCCAGCCTCACAAAACTGTCTGCAGAGAGCCTATAGGGACTGCCAATGTTTTAAGGCCATGTAAAATGATGCCATAAACACCTCAAGGACCGCATCTTTCCATATGAACCTACCCAGACCCTGAGATCATCTTCTGAGGCCCTCCTTCCTGTGCCTCCTCCTCAAGAGGTCTGGAGGGTGGCAACATGAGAACGGGGCCTTCTCTGCAGTGGCTCCCCATCTGTGGAATTCTCTCCCCCGGGAAGTTCACCTGGCGCCTTCAGATGCCAGTCAAAAACATTCCTTTTTAACCAGGCCTTTGGTTGATTCAATTTACATCCTATTCCTTTTTGAAATGTATTTTTTGTGGGGGGGTATTGGGTTGTTGTTTTTATTTTTATTAGGTATTTTGTGGTTTTATAGCTATTTTATTCTGTGAACCACCCTGAGACCCCTGGGTATAGGGCGGTATATAAATTCATTTAATAATAATAAAAATCTTATTGCTATGTTCTTTTCTCTATGGAGATTCTTGTTGTATTTTTTATGGAAAGAGAGAGAATTCACATGCACAATAAATACAGCGGGACACCTGGCTTGACAGAAGGACATTTGAAAAGGATTTGGGGCTGAGATTCCTGCATTGCAGTGCCCCTTCCAATTCTACAATTCTGTGATTCCAAAATGCTGAGCTATATAGATCACTGTCCTAACCCAGCAAGCTCTTCTCATGTCATTGTTGCTACTGTAATTATTTTATTTATTACCCATCCTCCCATCATAAGGTCCTTGCAAATTTGTGAAAATGACATGCAGAAATGTGTTATAATTAGGGGAAACGCTTTGCAAAAAGTTATATCAACCAATCATTCAATTTATTTGTCTTCTGCCTTTCCAAAGCAAAACCATGCTCAAGGAGCCTACGACATATAAAAAAACTGCTTAACTACAAACACATACCCTCCGACATTTCTCTGGTGAAAATAGGGACGTCCTAAGGTGAAGAGGGACAATTACAGGTTCAAATCAGAAACTGGGATGGCTTCTGTAAATCTGGGACCATCCCTGGAAAATAGGGACACTTGGGGTGGTCTGCAAGCATAACAAAAGTCAAAAGTGTGTAGAAAAAGATGTCAGTATGAGGAGAAACCAGCACTAAAATGCTGAAGAATTTGCATAAGAATTTATTCTCTTTTGCTGGAGAAAAGAGTGGAAAACCGAATTTAAGGCTGGAGATGCGGAGAATTGGGAGTGTCAGATTCTTCCATCCCAATAGCTCAGTCGGTAGAGCATGAGACTGAATCTTGGGGTTGTGGGTTTGAGACCCTTATGGGGCAAAAAGATTCCTGCATTGCAGGGTGTAAGGGGTTGGTGCTGCCAAAGCTAGCATAGATAAAACTCCAGGCTCGCAGCCAGTTTCTGTCTTTAAGATTTATTTACAAAGTTCAAACAGTTCTGAGAGCTTCAAAGGCATGTCCGTGCCTGTCTCACTCAGATGCCTCGAATGGCTTTTTCTTACTCCTCCTCCCCCAGCAGGCCAATTGTCAAAAGACCCGCCTCTTACTTCTTCTGTTCAGTGAATAGCTAGTTCTGGGCTCCCTGTCTCTTCTTCCGAGTCAGATGAGAAACTGCTAATTAGCTCTTTCGGCTCTCTATAAGTGCTAGTCTCCCCCCTTGGCTCTCTAGCCTTTTGCACTTCCCTGACACAGGGGGTTGGACTAGATGACCCTTGGGGTCCCTTCCAACTCTGCAATTCTACGATTCTACCTTTAATGGGATGCTGGACTAGACAGGCCATTGGCTCGATCCAGCCAGGCTCTCCTTTTTTATTCCTATGATCTTCCCACCCACCATCCCCTGAAACCGACTTGGGATACCTGCTTCCTCACCGAGAGCATTTGCTCAGATGGAGAGTTTGTTTTCCTGCACAAACCTTTCCTCCCGCAAAGCGCTCCTTTGCAATCCGGGGTCAGGTGCCTCTCAGGAAACAGCCCCGGGTGCTCGAAATTCCTGCTTCGCCAGGCGCTTCACCTCGTTGATATGCCATCCCTGCCCTGCATGGTAATTTATGGAAATGGCTTCTTTGCAGCGTTTCTGGAATAATATGAGACAGGAGGGCAATTTCCTCCGGGGACCCCCTCAGGTCAGCAGGGCAGGGAAGGTGGTTCAGTGTATGCATGCATGAGGCTGTCATTATAATGAAGGAAGAGAGTGTTTCTCTCCAACATGCTAAACCAAGGAGGAACCATACTTTGAGGCATGGGCAAAGCCAGGATTTATGCTTTTTGGGGGGCCAGAATACCCACCTCTCATCATCCTCTGTCTGGCTCTGTCTAGCAGATTCTGAATGAAATGTCTCCACAACAGTTGTCTTAATTACCTTCTTTTGACCCCAAGTGCTCAGAAAAATCTCTCAGAATTTTTCTACGATTTCTGTGCGCATATAAATATGTGTGTGTGTGTGTGTTTTACAATTTAAGATAAACATTTTACATCCTTGAGATATCGAGGACTTCCCTTCTTCTCTTTCCATGGTTCATTTTACATATCATAAAATCCCTGCATATTTTACAAAAACTATACCATTCGGTATTTCTGTTACTGCATCCATCAAAACTTATTTACACTGTTGAATTTATCTTAATGCTGCCAGCGTTTTCAGCTGTACACAATTATTCCCTATATATTCAATAAACGTTTTCCAATCTTCTTTAAATGTATGTTCTTGTTCTCTTGTTCTATATGTGAAGCCTGCAAGTTGTACATATTCTGTCAATTTTAGTTGCCATTCCTCATTGGTTGGGACCTTTAGTTGTGACATTGATACTGACAATTTCTACTTTTAGCTAAGTATTTTTCTTTATTTACTTGCTTTTGGGGTAGCAGCTGACCCCCAGACCCCCTGGCGACACCCATGCTTTCAGGATATTTTTTTGGGGGGGGGGTAACAAGACTAACAATAGGGAGGTGCTAAATGTAGGGGTAAGGGACACGGGTGGCACTGTGGGTTAAACCACAGAGCCTAGGACTTGCTGATCAGAAGGTCAGTGGTTCGAATCCCCACGACGGGGTGAGCTCCCATTGCTCGGTCCCTGCTCCTGCCAACCTAGCAGTTCTAAAGCATGTCAAAGTGCAAGTAGATAAATAGGTACCACTCTGGCGGGAAGGTAAACGGCATTTCCGTGCGCTGCTCTGGTTCGCCAGAAGCGGCTTAGTCATGCTGGCCACATGACCCAGAAGCTGTACGCCAGCTCCCTCGTCCAATAAAGCAAGATGAGTGCCGCAACCCCAGAGTCGGCCACAACTGGACCTAATGGTCAGGTGTCCCTTTACCTTTAAATGGAGGGGTTATCATTTCAGAATTTTGGGGGGATGAAGAGGATTATCGTAAAGCTTTGCAAATTTCACCCCTGGGATTGGTGGGAGAGAGAGATTGAAAATAAAGCTGCAGATATGATATCGCCCATTGGCACAAATCTAGGGTGCAACTGCAATGGGCAATCTGTGTACGGGTCTGGTTGCTTAAGAAAAGATAGAGGCCATTTGGTGTAGTGGTTACAGACCCGGGTTCAAATCTCCCCACTCAGTCATGAAGCTCACTGGGTCTGACTTTGGGCCAGTGGCAGTGAGCACAACCTACCTCACAGGATTGTTGTGAGAATAAAAAGGGAAAGAGGAGGACTCTGTGCACCCCCATGAGCTTCTTAGAGGAACAGGTGGGATGTGAAGAAAAGGAATGAATGATAAATATTGGTGGCTCGTCGGCACTGACAGCAAACCTATCCGTCTCAATGAACTTGCCCAACCTTCTTTTAAAGCCATCTGGGTTGGTGACCCTCACTGGCTCCTGTGGGAGAGAGTTCCGCCGTCTAACTTATTCACTGTGTGAAGGAGGACCTTCCTCCCTCTCATTATCAGAGGTTAACCCAGTGAAGGTGAATGCTGGAAGATTTGGGACAGATGGAAAGGAAGGGAAAGGAGCCTTTGTCCTTAAAAGTGTTCTTTGCTCCTCTGCTAGTGACTCTGGAAATGGGAGATGTTCCCTTGGTCTCAGTGCTGCCTGAGAATCTTCAACTCCCCACCAAGAATAACAGCCAGGGGCATCTCATCGCTCACCTTCAGGAACTCCTCCAGGTCTGGGTTTTGTGGTCAGCTGTGAAGAGCAGATGGGTGATTGTCGGTAAGCATTCCTGGATCTGTTTTGTGGAGATCCAATATTTATTGCCATATATATGATTATCTGTTACAGTGGTGCCTCGCAAGACGAAATTAATCCGTTCCGCGTGTCTCTTCGTCTTGTCGTTTTTTCGTCTTGCGAAGCACGCCTATTAGCGGCTTAGCGGCTTAGCGGCTATTAACGGCTTAGCGGCTATTAACGGCTTAGCGGCTTAGCGGCTATTAACGGCTTAGCGGCTTAGCGGCTTAGCAGCTATTAACGGCTTAGCGGCTTTAAGAAAAAGGAAACAAACTCACAAGAACTCGCAAGACGTTTCGTCTTGCGAAGCAAGCCCATAGGGAAATTCGTCTTGCGGAACGACTCAAAAAATGCAAAACCCTTTCATCTAGCGAGTTTTTCGTCTTGCGAGGCATTCGTCTTGCGGGGCACCACTGTAATTTATATTCTTCTCGATGCCCAATTAGGTTCCAATGCAGTTTGCAAACTGTAGAAACCAGTTACACAACCATTGAAATTTAGAAGAAGGACTTCTATATTTCAAATCCAGTGAAATATGATCAAAATGCACAAAGGACACTATATTATTATTAATAATAATAATAATATAATCAAAATGCACAAAATAAACTATATTATTATTAATATAATCAAAATGCACAAAGGAAACTATATTATTATTAATATAATCAAAATGCACAAAATAAACTATATTATTATTAATCATAATCAGTGTATTCATATCCTGGCTTTTCCCCAAACCAGGACTAGAGGCAGTTTAAAACTACACAGATAAAATACAAAGAGCTGAAAACATGTAAAAGATAATTATTAAAAAGTAATTAAATGCTAATAAAATTAAAGCAATATAAAAAACAAATCTACATAAATGTAATCCATTTTCAGTTCTAAAGTAATAGCAGTCCACAGATACAAAATTTGTTTTTCAAAGTAAGCCACTCGGCCCACAGAGGTGGAACAAACTTAGCCCATGCTCAGGTGTTCTACATATAAACATTAGTACACATTCACAAAAAGCAACTATAATGCTGACATTGTTCCTGTGCCGAAGTGGGATGTGAGGTGAGAAGATGCTGGCGCGGTCCATCTTTGACCCTCTCCCCCTTTTTTCCTCCAGGGCTCTTCCTCTCTGTTCTCCTTCTGTCCGTCTTCTTCGCCAGCCGCCTCCGCCCAGCAAGCCGGGCTCCCCTTCTCTTCAGGCCCGATACCAACATCCAGGTCCTGCTGGACCTAAAGTACAACCTGAGCGCTGAGGGCATCTCCTGCGTCACCTGCTCAGGTGAGTTGGGCCTCTCGGCTAGAGACCCAGCTGTGTTCGGAGATTGCTGGTCAACAGAGAGCCATCCCTCCTGGAGATCCAAAATAATTGATGCAAAATAGTACCACTCTGCTTTTCCATTCAGTGTTTATATTTTATTTTTATTTTATTTATTTATTTTCCCTTTTTTATTTCCATGCTTATTACATACAAAAAAGGGGAACAATATTGAAAAGGGGGTGCAACTTGAGAGGGGAGGAAAAAAGGAAAGAAAATGAAATTTACACAATCTGTTATTAAGACAAAAATTATGACAAAAAATTGTGATTACAATTTCATGTTACAATAAAAATAAAAAAATCTCGTCATCTTTTATACCCGACTTCCCATTTATTCCTTAATTCTTTTTACATAAATTTACTGCCATATCAAAATACTATTTTTTTATGTTAATATTTTCACAATTTATAAATGTTTATATTTATATAAGCAATTAATAAAAACTGCTGGGATCACTCAAAAGCTGCTACAGATTTTAACATGGTATAATTTTGATATGTTCTGAAGGCCTCCCATTTTTGATACAAATTCAATTCTCGGTTTATTTTTTTATTCCATTCAGTGTTTTTAAGGGGGCTTGGGTGGGAAGGGGGCCTGCATGGGTTGGAGAGCACAGCCTTGCACCCGAAGTTGGATTTTATGGGGCAAGATTGTGTTTTGGAGCTGGCTGTGGTACAGAACTCGCATCAAATTGTGGGAGAAGTCACTATGACTTTAGCTCCCATCAGCCTCTCCCAAGATCATGACCAAAGGGTGAAAGAAACTCCTCCCCAGTGTGGTGTAATGGTTAGAGCAGCGTTTCCCAAACTGGGGTCTCCGGCTCTTTTTGGACTACAACTCCCACTGGGTTCGAGTGTCAGGCAAAGGAGTGGGAGACCAAGGTTCGAATTCATGCTCCCTTGTGAAGCTGGCTAGGTGACCTTGGACCAGTCACCGCCTCTCAGCCTAACAGGCTTGATTAAAGAGTTGGGGAGAGCCACCTTGAGCTCCTTGGAGAAATAAATAATTACCGTATTTTTTGCTCTATAAGACTCACTTTTTCCCTCCAAAAAGTAAGGGGAAATGTGTGTGCATCTTATGGAGCGAATGCAGACTGCGCAGCTATCCCAGAAGCCAGAACAGCAAGAGGGATTGCTGCTTTCGCTGCGCAGTGATCCCTTTTGTTGTTCTGGCTTCTGAGATTCAGAATGTTTTTTTTTCTTGTTTTCCTCCTCCAAAAACTAGGTGCGTCTTATGGTCTAGTGCGTCTTATAGAGCGAAAAATACGGTGCGTAAGAAGGGGAAGGGCCATAGCTACCCTCTATGTGTATTGTATTGTTTTATGTACTGTGGCTTGCCGTTTTATTGATTCTAGTTTAGATATTATTGTAACTGTTGAGTGGATTTCTGTTTAACTTTTATATGTTGATATTATTTTATACTATTCTAGTGATTGTTGAATGTTACTTTTTTTGATTTAGGTTGCCTATTTTAAAGTTATGTTTTACTATCACATTTTTGTATTGCATTAGATTGTTATAAGATATACATTTTTTGTTTCCTCGGCTTGTAAACCACCTTGAGTATTGTAAGATAGAAAGGCGGTATACAAATTAATAATAATAATAATAATAATAATAAATAAATAGCTCAGTGGTTAGAACATCTGCTCTGCATGCAGAAGTTTAAAGCCCAGTGTCTCCAGAATTGGGATAAGGCTCCCTGTCTGAAGCCCCAAAGAGTCGCTGCCAGTCAGAGTAGACAATACTGATGGGCCAGTAGCCTCACTTTGTATAGGGCAGCTTCGGATGTTCCTGTGTCTTAAGGGAAGGGCTGTCGCTCAGTGGCAGAGTACAAGGTATGCATGCAAATGGCCCCAGGTTTGATCCCTGTGACTTCCAGGTGGGATTGGGGTAAGAGTCCAAGATAGTGGGGGGCTAGCCAGCCTAGCTGTCCTCCTCTTGATGCTGGAGATCCTTTTGTCCCTGACTAACATTGTGTGACAGGCTTGTTTCAGGAAAAACCCCGTAATTTGCAGAATAACATCCGCACCTCTCTGGAGAAGAAGAAGCGGGGATCTGGCCTTGTGTGGGGTAGCCGAGGAAGCGCTGCAGGGGATGGAATTGTACAAGGTGAGTTAACCCTGCTCTTTATCCGCAAAGGTGCCCAAAGCAGCTCACATAAGATTAATAGAAACAGGGCAATCTAAAAGTCACAACACAAAAGGAAAGAGAAGGGAAGAGGGAAGAGGAAAAATATGCAAACATAGACACCATTTCTTTATCTCAGGTTGTTCTCTTGCTGGGTATATCTTGGATTGAGAAATGTAGTACAGTGGTACCTCGAGTTAAGTACGTCATTCGTTCTGGAGGTCTGTTCTTAACCTGAAACTGGGGCCTCCTGCTGCCACCGCACCGCCGGAGCACGATTTTTGTTCTCATCCTGAAGCAAAGTTCTTAACCCGAGGTACTATTTCTGGGTTAGCAGAGTCTGTAACCTGAAGCGTATGTAACCCGATGTAGCACTGTACAGTGGTACCTCGGGTTAAGAACTTAATTCGTTCTGGAGGTCCGTTCTTAACCTGAAACTGTTCTTAACCTGAGATACCACTTTAGCTAATGGGGCCTCCCTCTGCTGCCGTGCCACCACAGTGTGATTTCTGTTCTCATCCTGAAGCAAAGTTCTTAACCCAGGTACTATTTCTGGGTTAGCAGAGTCTGTAACCTGAAGCGTATGTAACCTGAAGCGTATGTAACCCAAGGTACCACTGTATAAGCCTTCTATTTTTCTGCATGTGTCACTGATTTAGGCTTGGATGAAGGCAAGCTCAGAACAAATATTCATACAGAGATGGGACAGGCTGCCTCTTTCTCTTGCTGGTGTCGCACCTCTGCATGTGGAATGATTTGAACCTTTTAATCGCACGTCACATCCACTAATACATTTAAAGCATGATGCTTCCTCCTAGCATGGCTAGGATATTCCACATGGAAAAGGAACAGATCCTACAACCTACCCCACCCCACCCAGTGGCAGAATGTGACTCATACACAGAGGTGGAAGTCAGCCTCCTCTGTGAATATAATGCCTTTAGAGAACCTTTAACCCCTCAACATAGGGATGCGGGTGGCACTGTGGGTTAAACCACAGAGCCTAGGACTTGCCGATCAGAAGGTTGGCGGTTCGAATCCCCGCGACGGGGTGAGCTCCCGTTGCTCGGTCCCTGCTCCTGCCCACCTAGCAGTTTGAAAGCACGTCAAAGTGCAAGTAGATAAATAGGTACCGCTCCGGCGGGAAGGTAAACGGCGTTTCTGTGCGCTGCTGTGGCTCGCCAGAAGCGGCTTAGTCATGCTGGCCACATGACGTGGAAGCTGTGTGCCGGCTCCCTCGGGCAATAAAGCGAGATGAGCGCTACAACCCCAGAGTCGGTCACGACTGGACCTAATGGTCAGGGGTCCCTTTACCTTTACCTTTAACCCCCCCAAAACAATGGTTTTCTCTTAGTCCTCTGCTGACACCCAGGTCTGGGAAGGTCTGGAAGGGTCGTCTAGCCGAATTTGTTGTGGTGATGTTGAGGGCGAAGTCTGGCTGGTGGGTGGATTTTTCAGGGCTCCCTCAGGTTGACTGTACCATGTTCTGCAGCAGACCCCCAGGGAACAGTCTACATCTTCAAATCCAAAGGCAAAGGGCGGCCAGTGCTCTACAGATTCTCTCTCAATGCCACCGTCCCGGCACCATGGCAGACGGTGTCAGCAGGAGACGGGGACATCCCCTCTTTCCTGGTGAGTTTCCAGAGCACCTATCAATTACCTGTGCGGCTGAGACACAATGCTCTCATTAATGCAGCTCCATGTAGGCAGGGCAGGGAAGGCCAAGATATGGGGAACGTCTCTGGGGGTAAAATGCATGGGATTTCCTCCCCCCCCCCCCCCGGAGTCCTGTTGCACGATGTGAGACTGGTTTTATTTGTATACAGTGGTGCCTCACAAGACGAAATTAATCCGTTCCGCGAGTCTCTTCGTCTTGCGGTTTCTTCGTCTTGCGAGCACAGCTATTAGCGGCTTAGTGGCTATTAGCGGCTTAGCGGCTTAGCGGCTATTAACGGCTTAGCGGCTTTAAGAAAAAGGAAACAAACTCTCAAGAACTCGCAAGACGCTTCGCCATGCGAAGCAAGCCCATAGGGAAATTCGTCTTGCGGAACGACTCAAAAAACGCAAAACCCTTTCGTCTAGCGAGTTTTTCGTCTTGCGAGGCATTCGTCTTGCGGGACACCACTGTATTATTAGTAATTGTCTGATAGCGCCCAAGGTTCCCTGTTTAGGGCAGGAGAGGGGGACGTTTGTCCCTCCCGATGTCACTAAACTACATTTGGCCTGACCCACTGCTAGCTATCTCATGGAATTTGCAGGGAATTTCCCCCTGTTTACAGAAGTTTTAAATGTTTTATTATTATTATTTTATTTATTATTTAATATTCTGTTGGGAACCACCCAGAGTGGCTGGGGAAACCCAGCCAGATTGGTAAGGTATAAATATATTATTATTATTATTATTATTATTATTATTATTATTATTAGAATCGTAGAGTTGGAAGGGACCCAGAGGGTCATCTAGCAGAACCCCCTGTCATGCAGGAATCTCCGCAAAAGAATCCCCGACAGATCGCCCAACCAGCCTCTGTTTAAAAGGAAAGGGAGTCTTGCCATCCAAAAGTCATTCCTAATGACTAGTCCTTGCCATTTGCATCCATTGGTTACTGGTTAGAGGGAGCTGGGCTTGTGCAATAGTTTTAGCACACAATCTGGTGTGGGGGTGGGGGTGTGTACACAGCAAGCCTGAAAGCCTTTATCTCCTGGTATGCCCCGCGGAGGACCTTAAGGTCCACAAATGACAACACCTTGGCGGTCCCAAGTCACAAGGTGGTTAGATTGGTTTCAACTAGGGCCAGGGCTTTTTCAGTACTGGCCCCGACTTGGTGGAACACTCTGTCACAAGAGATCAGGGCTCTGTGGGACTTGATGTATTTCCGCAGGGACTGCAAGACGGAGCTGTTCTGCCTGGCCTTTGGTTTGGACTCAGTCTGACCCTTATGTTTCCCTCCCCTTATGGTTTCGATCTATGGGCTACTTCTAAAATGAGGCTGCATTTTAAATTGCGTTTTAACCTGTATTTTAAATTGGTTTTATTATTATTATTATTAGTAGTAGTACTATGTTTTTACTGTAATTTTAATGGTGTTAGCCGCCCTGAGCCCGGCTCTGGCCGGGGAGGGCGGGTATAAATTAAATTTATTATTATCATCTAGTTGCCACTTCATGCAGGGGAAAGTGTGCGATGCTAATATCTCTCTCTCTCTTTTTTTTTACGTCCCATTTTCCTCGGCTCCGAGACATGTGTTAGTGAAGTCTTCTGTTTTCATTAATCCATTGCTTAGGTGTATAGAGTTCCTTACGGTAACTTCACCAAGAGGCTGACCGCTTGTATGTCCACAGTAGGGCATGTCCAACAGACGGGCCCCAAGAAGTGGATGGTGACCACCTTGTCGTGCGACGCCAAGAGAGGGTGGAAATTCGACTTCAGTTTCTACGTGGCTGCAAAGGAACAGCAGCGCACGAGGTAAACGTCCGGTGACTAAACTCTGACATGGGTTAGAATAGACCAGGAGGGTCATCTAGTTCATGGGTAGGCAAACTAAGGCCCAGGGGCCAGATACAGCCCAATCTAAATCCAGCCTGTGGACGGTCCGGGAATCAGTGTTTTTACATGAGTAGAATGTGTCCTTTTATTTAAAATGCATCTCTGGGTTATTTGTGGGGCATAGGAATTCGTTCATATTTTTTTTCCAAAATATAGTCCGCCCCCCCCCCCCAAGGTCTGAAGGACAGTGGAACAGCCCTCTGCTGAAAAAGTTTGCTGACCCCTATTTTTTATTAATTTTTCAATTACAATCCAAAAATAACCTCATTATAACAATACCAAATTATGATATAACTACTAATACCCAGTGCTTTTTTTCTGGGGGGGACGGATACCCCTAAACATTTTGTGAATCTTTGTACTTTTGTCCATTTACTGTGTTTATTTTTCCCTGTTTGAACTATAACGTGGTGATTTTCTGAGTCAAAACGAGAGTACCCCTAAACATTATTTTAGAAAAAGAGCACTGCTAATACCAGTCATCCAAATACCGAATTATACCATTTAGGTGCCCCCGCCCCCGTGTGCTAGAATTGATGGTTTGATGCTTTTCTTTATTTCTGCGTTCCAAAATCTTATTGATTTTGATTGCTTTCCAATCAAAATAATAATCCCTTATACAACAACTGCAATACAGTTGTACCTCTTGTTACGTCAGACTCCGGTTGCGTTTTTTCAGAATACGAACGCGGCAAACCCCTTGCGCATGTGCAAAATTGGCGCTCTAGTTGCGGACTTTTCGGGGTGCGAATGGCACCCCGGAAAGGATCAAGTCCCTAACTAGAGGTACCACTGTATTAATAACTACCATTCATGCTGACACATTAAGTGATTTATAGAACTACAAGTGAGGCACTCAAATTATATCCTTGTTCTTCCTGTGTGTGACAATTATTCTGTCCGCTGAGTTTCTTCCTGTCCTTGTAAAGTGTTATATCTATCTTTTCCTGGTTGTTGCTGTTCTCCATCATGCCTTGGGCGGAGCTGATATCCCATTGTTGTTCCAGAAATTTCTCCATCGCTCCATCCCATGCTTCGCTGATTTGCAACTTTAACAACAGCTACAGCAGCCAAAAGCACATCAAAGTGCAAGTAGATAAATAGGTACCGCTCCTGTGGGAAGGTAAACGGTGTTTCCGTGAGCTGCTCTGGTTCGAAGCGGCTTAGTCATGCTGGTCACATGACCTGGAAGCTGTACGCCGGCTCCCTCGGCCAATGAAACGAGATGAGAACCGCAACCCCAGGGTCGGCCATGACTGGACCTAATGATCAGGGGTCCCTTTACCTGTACTTTACAGCAGCCGCATTCTTGGCTGGGGTCCCATTTATGCCTCATATAACCCCTGTTTTAAAGCAGCTGCACTGGCAGTTCATTTCCAGGCCCAGTTCAAGGAGCATAAAGCCTTAAATGTCTCAGGCTTGATATACATGGAAGATTGCCTTCTTCCCCACCAACCTTCTTGGGTGCTGAGATTGACAGAGGGGGCTCTCTTGGCCATTCCTGGAAGAGAGTCTTCTCTGTGGTGGCCCCGAAGCTGCAGAACTCTCTCCCCACAGAGGTGCAGAAGGTGCTTTCAATTCACAACTTCTGGCAGGTGCTGAAGGTGTCCTTCTTTACATGTGCAGTGTATGTTTTTAGGCTCCACCTTATTTTTGTGATGGGAAGTTCCTCTTAATTGTTTGTTTCTTTAATTTAAGAAAGCACATGCACACAGAAATAAAGAAAGACAGTGCAACTGAATTAAAATTAGACATAATTTGGGTTGTTTTGTTCACAGTCCCTGGGCAAAGGTTTATTATTTTTATTTTCGGGTGCTGGAGTAGTGACATTTCACTCTCCCCACCCCCCCATCCTGATTTTATTCATTTCATTTTATTACATATAATGGTGCAAATGTTTGAGAGATACAGAAGCTAACTGTGGCTTCCCTGTTTGGCATCATATGGTCCATAACTTAAAAAAATTAACCAATGCAGTGTGGATAAATGGCTATTCCAGAGAGAGAAAAACAATGCCACGAACGATAAGATCATGATTCCATGATTACATATTCCACTGTAACCTGCCCTGGGACCTTAGGGTGAATGGCAGGCAATAAATATATATTACTAGTAAAAGTAATAATAGAAGTAGTAATAGAAATATCAATTGGGTGTGTGCATGCATTTTTTTTTAAAGTGGTACCTTGCCCTGGACCCTGAAGGTACAGTCTATATAATCCCATAGAAAATCCCTATACAGTGGTATCTTGGTTCTCAAACTTGATCCGTTCCGGAAGTCTTTTCGAAAACCAAGGCGTGCTTTCCCATAGAAAGTAATGCAAAATGGATTAATCCATTCCAGACTTTTTAAAATAACCCCTAAAACATGAATTTTGCTACCTAACGAGACTATTGATCTGTAAAATGAAAGCAATAAACAATGTACTGCAGTCACACAATCAATCAATCAATCAGTAGCCGAACTGGGTTCCACACAGTCACAAAGACAAAACAAAAAAGCCGCAGAAACAAAAACAGACAGACCTCAGCGTAACACTCAAAACGGAAGTGTGCCACTCAAATCGGAAGCGTAACACTCAAAACGGAGCACGTTCGGCTTCCGAAAAAAGTTCGCAAACCGGAACACTTACTTCCAGGTTTGCAGTGTTTGGGTTCCAAGTTGTTTGAGTTCCAAGGTATTTGAGAACCAGGGTACCACTGTATAATCCCATAGAATCCTATAGAAAAATGGCAAAATATTGACAAGCCAGGACATTCACCGTCCTTTGTTGCCCTATTGGCAGACAATTTACCTGTTGGTCTCTGCTGTCAAAGCTGCAAAATCTGGGTCAACTCTGGGATGGAGGAGGAGATCCAGACATTGAAACTGTTCTGGCACGTCCCTGAAGCCTCAAGGGATGAGCGTGATGTTCTGTAACGCTCGTATTGATTGTCCAGATTCATTACTCTCCCCTTTCCTTCTAGGAAGCTCTACTTTGCCCAGTCCCACAAGCCCCCTTACCACGGCCGAGTCTGCATGGCTCCACCCGGCTGCCTCCTTAGCTCCAGCCCCGATGGACCAAACAAAGGCTTCTTGTACGTGCCGAGCGAGAAAGGTGAGATGAAGTGGGATTTGTGTGGCTTCGATAAGAACGTCAGAAAAAGCCCCATTGGAGCAGGTCAGTGGGTCATCTAGTCTAGCATCTTCTCAGATGTCTGTGGGAAAGCTGCAAGCAGAATACAAGCACATGAGCCCTCTCCCCTCTGACCCTGGAGGCAGAGCTTCTTCTTCATCCTTCTTTGGCAATCCCTCGTAGCCGATTAAGATTGTCTTCCCTAAACACGGTCTTAACAGTGAGTCGGTAAGTGACTGTGGAGGCCAATTCTGGATCCACATGACCTTCCACAGTGGGGACATAGGTTTCTGGGTGGGAGTTGATCATGGTGAGGATTTGCCAAGCGTGCCTTCCTCTTAGCACGTTTCTCCTTTGCGTCCTGAGTTCAGGTGTCTTCAAAGTCCATGACACTTTGGGTAAAGGCTGTTCTCCAATTAGAGCGCTCACAGGCAAGTGTTTCCCAGTTGTCGGTGTTTATACTACATTTTAGATTTGCCTTGAGAGAGTCTTTAAACCTCTTTTGTTGACCACCAGCATTACACTTTCCATTTTTAGTTCGGAACAGAGTAGTTGCTTTGGAAGATGATAATCAGGCACCCGCACAACATGACCAGTCCAACAAAGTTGATGTTGAAGAATCATCGCTTTGACACTGGGGATCTTTGCTTCTTCCAATTCCAGTAGTTCGTCTGTCTTCCCAAGTGATGTGTAAAATGGTCTCCTCCTCCTATAGATTTACTTAATCCTATTTTAATGCCATCTACACTGGTAGCATCAGTTCCCTCAAAGCATCAGCATGTTTCTTGGTCACAGCTCTGGCTTATCAACCAGCTGCAAAACCTCCCCCTCCCTCTTTCCTGACTCCTGCTTCCCATCCTGAGCAGGCAAGGAGTAGCAAGAACATGATCCATCAAGGGCAATACAGCAAATGCCTTAAATCACCTTTGTGCAATTCACACAGCCTCAATTTGTTGCCAGAGTCGAGCCACGTTAGATCATAATAACCTGCAGTTTCATAAGAGTATATAAAGCAGGTGGATAAATGAGTAAATTAAGTTAATTTGCATAGGCGGAAAATATTAAAAATAAATTTAAGGAACCGCAGAAAGAGGGGGAAGGAAGTCAAGTTCTGAAATGTTAAAATGATTGGGAAATTATTGAAATCTATAAAACTGAAAATCATAAATAAAAAATGTGCCAAGCCACATTGGATTGACTCAGAAATGAAACAGAACTAACTCTCTCTCCTTTTTAAAGACCTCACCAGAAATAGCCTGGTTATTTTTCTGAAGCCCAATCTCACGGTTGCAAAGGCCACATTTCAAAGTGTTGCTCCTGACCTTTTGAAAGCGCTAAGTGGTTTGGGACTTGGTTATCCGAAGGAACACCTATGTTCCTGTAAACCTGTGTAGACCTTCAGATTGGTCCCGGGAGCTGTGCCCTTTTCCTCCCATCATGTTTTGCAAAAGCGTCAGACTGATAGATACCAGACTGGCCTTTTTGGGGGTGGCCCCCATGCCGGTGGAATTCCCTCCCGTGGGATCTGCTTCATGTCTGCTGCTGCTCTGGATGTTTTTTAAATGGGCCTCGAAGATTCACTTGCTTCCAGGGCAAACCTAACAAGGGATTGGTGGAGTCTCAGATTCACTGGCACATCCAAAGTCTTGCTGGCTCCTACCTCAGGAAGAAGTTGGAAGGCATATTTTGTTTCCTTTTTTTGCTGCATCAGATCCATGCTGTTGCAAGTGAGGGAGCTGAGGATCAGGCCCCTCAGGGGAGCCTCAAAACGTTGCACCCAGCAAAACCCTGCTTCTGCATATTGAGGGGCTTTCCGCTGGCTACCCTCTGTGAGAGAACCCCTGGCAGTAGCAACTCACCTGCCAGGATGGAGCCTGAGATTTCCACCACCACCAGTTCTACTTATCTCTGTTGTGCAGCATTCGAAGGATGGTGGAGAAACTGCATCCTGGAAAGAGAGACAGATAAAGCGTTTGTTTTCATTCGACTCAGGACAAATAGCCCTTGCAGTGAAGCTGTCATTGGCTTCGAATCGTGATGGCTGTCCACTGTCAGAGGCAGGAAATGCTTCTGAATACAGTGGTACCTTGGTTTAAGAACAGCTTAGTTTAGTAGCACCTTATAGACCAAGTAAGTTTGTTCTGGTATAAGCTTTCGTGTGCATGCACACTTCTTCAGATGTGCATGCACACTTCTTCAGATTCTGCATACGAAAGCTTGTTGTTGTTGTTTAGTCGTTTAGTCGTGTCCAACTCTTCGTGACCCCATGGACCAGAACATGCCAGGCACTCCTGTCTTCTACTGCCTCCCGCAGTTTCGTCAAACTCATGCTGGTAGCTTCAAGAACACTGTCCAGCCATCTCGTCCTCTGTCGTCCCCTTCTCCTTGGGCCCTCCATCTTTCCCAACATCAGGGTCTTTTCCAGGGAGTCTTCTCTTCTCATGAGGTGGCCAAAGTATTGGAGCCTCAGCTTCAGGATCTGTCCTTCTAGTGAGCACTCAGGGCTGACTTCCTTCAGAATGGAGAGGTTTGATCTTCTTGCAGTCCATGGGACTCTCAAGAGTCTCCTCCAGCACCATAATTCAAAAGCATCAATTCTTCGGCGATCAGCCTTCTTTATGGTCCAGCTCTCACTTCCATACATCACTACTGGGAAAACCATAGCTTTAACTATACGGACCTTTGTTGGCAAGGTGATGTCTCTGCTTTTCACCAGAACAAACTTAGTTGGTCTTAGGGGTAGGCAACCTAAGGCCCAATTGCCACAAGCGGCCCACAGGGGTCATTTAACCAGCCCCTGAACCAAGCTAACTGCTTGGTGAGTCCCCACGCGCTTTGCTAAACTGGTGCAGTGCAGTGCGGGGACTTGCTTCCACAGTACCGAAAATTCCATCTGTGCAGACACAGAAGCCGGAAATTGTGGCTGTGAGCGTGCAATCCGGCCCATGAAGGGATCTCCGCTGGAGTGAACCAGCCCATGTGAGGTAAACCTTGCTGACCCCCGGTCTATAAGGTGCTACTGGACAATTTTTATTTTTATTATTTTTTACTGTGTCAGACCAACACAGCTACCTACCTGAGCTTAATTTATGAACAGCTTGGATTAAGAACGCTGCAAACCCAGAAGTAGGTGTTTTGGTTTGTGAACTTTGCCTTGGAAGCAGAATATGTTTCACTTCCTGTTGAGTGTGTTCCATTTGTAAATTGACTCCCCCGCTGCTATGGGAAAGCACGTTTTGGTTTAAGAACGCTTTGGTTTAAGAACGGACTTCCGGAACAGATTAAGTTCGTAAACCAAGGTACCACTCTATTAGTTGCTGGAAACTGCAGGGGGGGGGGTCTTGTGCTTGGATCCTGCAAACAGGCATCTGGTTGGCCACTGTGAGAACAGGCTACGGGAGGCTACCTTTGAAGGTGACCCAGAAATTGCAACTAATCCCGAATGCGGCAGCTAGACTGGTGACTGGGAGTGGCTGCCGAGACCACATAACACCGGTCCTGAAAGACCTACATTGGCTCCCAGTATGTTTCCAAGCACAATTCAAAGTGTTGGTGCTGACCTTTAAAGCCCTAAACAGCCTTGGCCCAGTATACCTGAAGGAGTGTCTCCACCCCCATCGTTCAGCCTGAACCCTGAGGTCCAGCTCTGAAGGCCTTCTGGTGGTTCCCTCACTGTGAGAAGTTACAGGGAACCAGGCAGAGGGCCTTCCCGGTAGTGGCGCCCGCCCTGTGGAATGCCCTCCCATCAGATGTCAAGGAAATAAACAACTATCTGACTTTTAGAAGACACCTGAAAGCAGCCCTGTTTAGGGAAGTTTTTAATGTTTGATATTTTATCATGTTTTTAATATTCTGTTGGGAGCTGCCCAGAGTGGCTGGGGAAACCCAGCCAGATGGGCAGGGCATAAATAACAAATTATTATGATGGGGATAGGTCTTTGGTCTGGTCCAGCTACCAGGCTCTTCATAAGTTCTTAAGTTTAAACAAAGCAAATGATCCTCAACAAGATCCTAATCGCCGCCTTTCTCCTCTACATCTTCTCCTCCAGCCTCCCCTAAAATCAAGTTGTCCGTCACTTCTGGATTCAACCCTTGCGGGAACGCTAGCTGTGGGAAACCGGCGGTGCGCCCCCTAGTGGACACGGGAGCCATGGTCTTTGTGGTGTTCGGGATCCTAGGGGTGAACCGCTCCCGGCGCATGGACAACCACGTCATCGGAGACATGGTACACCTGCCTTCTTGCTCGGGGTGGGAGGGTTTGGAGGGATGCAAGACCCTCTCTGCTCTCCCCAGATTAGTTCTCTGCTGCTACAAGGGACCAGGCTAGAACAAGTGGGTTGCAAATGCGGAGAAGAAGACGAACCAGGGCAGCGAGGGATGGTGGGAATCGCAGTCCAATATGCCTGCAGAGCATCTGAATCTGCCTGGAGCCACAGGGGATGGAAACTGGGAACTTCTGCATGCAAAACAGATACTCTTAAAGAAGAAAATACAGTTATAAAAGGGGAAACCAGTGAAATTTCTAAAATAATTGAAATATACTCAGAGTCTAGAGTGGATTTCATGCTCTTTATTCAGCTCATAGTGGTGAGGAGGAATGAAAGTTTCCCCAAAGCATCTGCTTTATATACATTATTTACACAATGGGCTGCACGTGATTGGCTAATTCTGGGATTCTCCTGTAGGCCAATCAGGTTGTGGATTCACTTCCATCTGGAGCTGGATTGGGTGGCTACTGCTGCATTGTTCTAGGACCAATCAGACTGCTGCATTCTGAATCCTATTGTTCTAGGACCAATCAGACTGCTGCATTTTGGATCCTATTGTTCTAGGACCAATCAGACTGCTGCATTTTGGATCCTATTTAACTCAGTACCTAACAATAATACTAGAAACGGATGATCAAGAAGATCAGTTAAAAGAGATGTGGGAAAAGGAGACAACAGAGCAAACAGATTAAAGCTGAGGGAAAATACGGGAGAAGCATACACTGAAAATGTTTATAAGAATAAAAGAAAATTATTGGAGGTGGTATTTAACTCCAGTCAAATAAACAAGGAATATTCGGTGTTATGTTGGAGGGGGTCCTGGGAAACAGGGAATTGCGTTCACATGTGGTGGGGGTGTAAATAAGTACAAATTGGGGGGGGGGGGCAAAGGGTTTTTAATGACCTAACAGAAATCACTGGGTTAAAACTGACCAGAAGTCCAGAGGGTAGCATTATTATCAATTTACGATGGGATGGAAGATTCGCAGGCTAGGAAGGACTTGCTCGCAAATTTATTGACGGCTGCACGAATTATGATAGCCAGGAAGTGGAAGGGGCAAGCAGAATATAAAATGGAAGGATCGTATAAAGAGGTGGGAGATATAGCTATGAATGATAAATTAACATGTGCCATTAAGGTAAGACGGGGAATATGCAGGAGGAATGATTTTGAGGGTGTTTGAAGAAGGGGGTCCAACCATCGCAAGAAATGGTTGAAATTTTGGGAGGTTGGATAGTTCCAATGGAATGGTCTTGGTGGTGGGGTGCACATTTTGATTCTTATTGTAGCCTTATTGGAGTTCACCGATTGGGTCTGCGTTGCTCTGGGACAGGAGGAAGGAAGTCAAATGACACCAAGGTTGATTCAAAGAAAGAGTTTATTCTGCTCTCCGGATAGCAGAAGGCACTTGTGTGATCAAGTGCACAGCAAGTCCAAAGAAATGACATGCAGTTTCATGCAGTATATATATCCTCCAGGCACCCTCTCCCTCCTTCCCATATAAATCCAACCACTTCAGCCTATGTACGCAGGTTGACATCACATATGTTCTTGCTCTAGTATTCTTAACCATAAAAGGGAATTCCTTCCTGTACTTCTGACCATAAAAGGATCTTCCTCTTCCTACTCTTATCTTGGAGGAAGAGGTCGTCATCTCCGAGAACACGCTTTGGCGTTGTTCCGGACTTAGGTCTGTGCGTCTTTTGTGGTCAGCACATAAGATAAGGCACAGATGTGTTTTCTCTGTTCTACTGGTGCAGTCAGGGTCATTCTTGCCGTCACAAACTGATAAAGGAGAGGGCTCTGAGCACAGCTGGGTTTTTGTTTATACGTTGACTCAGAGCTCAAGTTAATGGATTTTAGCTAAGGAAAAATAGGGATTTTGGTGCAGTTTCAAACTGCCTGCACAGTCAGTTTTGGGTTTGGGAAACCCATTCCTTCATTATTTATTTATGGTTATTACTTTGTCAAAAAACACTACCAAAAAACCCTGATTCTCTACCCCTGAGCTCACCAGCCATTTTGCGTGGGATGCTGCCATCGTACCATTTCCTGCACTGCAGGTACCGTACAGGGCTGAGGGTCAGTCTGGATGACACGCACCCCCGGGGTGCCCTTTCCAGCAACGTCTCTGTTTTCCCGACTTGATCCCGTTGCCTCATGTGTTTGTCTCTTTCTGTTTGTGTCTCCTTGTGAAAGGGCAGCGTCATCTATGATGACGGCTTCGACCTCTTCAAAGAGATTGGCAACCTGTGCAGGATCTGCAAAGCTATTGCCGGCAACGTGGAGCTGGTCAAGCCGGGAGGAGCCCAGTGCCTGCCCTCAGGTATGTCGCCTCCTCTTCCAGTGTTGTGGCCCACCATTTGGAGTAGGGGGGTCTTTGTTATCACAGACGCATGTAGGACCGACAGGAAAGGGGAGGGAGCCAGTGGAAACTACTGGGGTCCAGGTTCCAGCTACCTTGCCTCTGCTTCTGTCCTTCTCGGTAGTCTCAAGTGAGGATAGCTCAGTCGGTAGAGCAGGAGACTCTTAAACTCGGGGTTGTGGGTTCGAGCCCCACCTTGAGCAAAAAGATTCATGCATTTCAGGGGGTTGGACTAAATTTATACCCTTGTGGTCCCTTCCAATTCTACGATTCCATGATCGTTTGCCCAATTGCTTGTGACATCCATTGTAAAATCGGTGAATTTCAAAGAAAATAATAATGCATACTGTCAGGGAACAGCCATCGGCTCAGGGGGGAGAGGGGGAAAGCCGGATGGATTACAGAGAGCCCCCAAAGATCGTGGGAAGCAGCTCCTCCTTCCGCACCTAGAGGGGAGGCGCAGACTGGGCGTCAAGAAACTACTCTGCTGGGGAAGGTTTAAGGACCGCCCACTCACAGATTCGGCCAGTGAATGATCCAGCCACGGGAGAGTGGCGCTCTGGACAGATCAAGTTTATTTTGGCATCAAAAGCAAGGCTTCACAGCCGAGCAGGGAGGCATTTGCCTGCTTGCTCTCGAGCAACCCCTTTGAAACCTAACACATACGTATCATTTTTATTTCCAAATGTTTATTCCTAGATAGATAGATAGATAGATAGATATTTATAATGCTCAGTGCATGCACAGTTCTGAGTAACGCCTTGCTAACATGCCACAAACCAGGCATCTCGGAGTATTTCCAACTCCCTGTGCACTTTGACAGCACAATCGCCACTTACTATGCACCATCAGATTTGTAGGTTTTCGTAAGCGGAAACACTCCGCGAATCCAACCAAGTTGTGTGATACGCACAATGTGGGTTATGAATGAATGAATGAATCTTTCTTTGCACCAGCCATCAGCCATAGCAATAAAACAACAATACGATACACAAAGAATAGAAATAAAAAGTCCATTATATAAAATACATTTTAGGGTTTGGAATGAATGGTCAAATAGTGGATCCTATTCTGATGGCCGCAATGTGGGTTATATATACATGGATCAGGCTGAAGGGGTCCCATCTAGTCTGGCATCCTGTCCTCACATTGCCCACCCAGATGTCACTGATGGAAAGACCTGAATGCCAAGATTCTCCTATGATAACCGCAGCTGGCACTCAGAAGCATAGCTGCCTCCATCAGCCCTCGTGGCTCATGGCCTTCAAAAGCCCTCTCCGCCATGAATTTTTACATTCCTCTTCCAGAGCTTTCCAAGTCGGTGGCTATCACCGCCTCTGGTGGCAGGGAGTTCCATAGTTTAAATATCCTTTGTGTGAAGAAGAACTTTTAAGCCAAGGAATATACAAGCCAGACAATACTCATTTAGTCACAGTCTCAAGCTGGAGTTCAGGAGAAGGTAAAATAAGAACCTAAGAACAGCCTGCTGGATGCAATGAGGTTAAGGGAACGTTCTTTCATATGTGGTGGACCTGTAAAAGGGTAAAAGAGTCTTGGGAAATAATCCATAATGAATTGAAAAAAGATGTTTAAAGGTACTTTTGTAAAAAAACAAAAAACAGAGTCCTTTCTGTTGGGGATAATTCAGACTGAAATTCCCAGGTGTCAGAAAAGGTTATTTATGTATGCCACTACTGCGGTCCATGTTTTGTTAGCCTAAAAATGGAAAACGAATGAGGTCCCAAGAAGAATGGCAACTTAAGCTGATGGAATACATGCAGCTTGCAGACTTAACATATAGAATAAGAGAACAAGAAGAACATACGTTTAGAGAAGATTGGAAAATGTTTATTGAATATATAGGGGGAAATTGTGTACGGCAGAAAACGCTGGCAGCATTAAGATAAATTCAACAGGGCAAATAAGTTTTGATGGATTTAATAATGGAATACTGAATGGTATAGTTTATGTAAAATATGCGGGAATTAATGCTATGCAAAATGAACCATGGAAAGGGAAGAAGGGAAGTCATTGATATTTTAAGGATGTTTAAATGAGTATTCTAAATTGTAAAACAGAAAATTTAGTTAAAAATTATAAAAAGAAAGAAAGAAAAGCCTTCTGGATCAGGCCAATGACCCATCTAGTCCCGGCATCCTGTTCTCACAGTGGCCAACCAGATGCCTGTGGGAAACCCACAAGCAGGATTCGAACACAAGAGCAACTCTCCACTCCTGCAGTTTTCCAGGAACTGGTATTTACTGCCTCCAGTGTTCATGTTAGAACACAGCCAAACAGGGTTAGTGTAGCCTTATTAGACTTTACCGATTGGTGGGCTCTGCGTTGCTCCCGGACGGGAGGAAGGAAATCAAGTGACACCGAGGGTTGGTTCAGAGAAAGAGTTCTTTATTTCTGCTCTCCAGAACAGCAGAAAGGCACTTGCGTGGTCAGTCCACAGCAAGTCCAAAGAAATGAGAAATTTTATGCAGTATATATATCCTCCAGGCACCCTCTCCCCCTTCCCCAGGAATCCAGCCACGTCAGCTTGTACACGCAGGTTGACATCACAGATGTTCCTGCTCCGGCACTCTTAACCATAAAAGGGTATTCCTTCCTATGCTTCTGGCCATAAAAGGATATTCCTTCCTGTACTTCTGACCATAAAAGGATCTTCCTGTTCCTACTCTTATCTTGGAGCAAGAGGTCACCATCTCCAAGAACACCCTCTGGCATTGTTCCCAGACTAGGTCTGTGCGTCTTTGTGGTCAGGATATAAGATAAGGCACAGACGTGTCTTCCCTGTTCTACTGGTACAGTCAAGGCCGTCCTTGCCATCACAAACTGATAAAGGAGAGGGCTCTGAGCACTTGTCTATACAGCCGGGTTTTTGTTTATACATTGACTCAGAGCTCAAGTTAATGGATTTTAGCCTTACCATGATGGTTATGTATTCTGGGTTGCACAAAAAGGAACCGTACATCTATCTACCCCCCTGTCTTTCTAGGATACAGTATCTCCACTGTCCTTCAGATGCTGCACCCAGAATGCAAGAATCTTCCCGAGCCAAACCTCCTTCCTGGACAGCTCTCCCACGGGGCGGTGGGGGTGAAGGAAGGCAAAGTCCTATGGATCTCCATGGCCTTCGAGTCGGTGAGGACTCCCCACCCGAATTCTGTCACCCCATTGCAGCTGCTTTGGATTTTGAGCCAGCTGAGCTATATACTCAGAGTAGACTCCTTGAAATAAATGGACCTGAATTCACCCTGTCTGTGAACTTCAGTTGGGTCTGCTCTGAGCAAGACAAGCACTGATGACAACCTTCTGTTCTTTTGTGTACTCCTTTGTGTGTGTTATTGTCATTGAAATTCTACTCAATATCAAGCCAGAGGAGAATTCCAATGTATAGTTAGCCAAGTAAAAACACATTGCAGGATTCCCCCAAAATAGACCAGAGGCAATTGTATTTCATTCAGCAGAGCTTTACTGCTACAGAAGGCAAATGAGCATAATGGTCACAAATCCAATACATTCAGGATTGAATCTGTCCATAAGAAATCCAGTTGCAGCAGGCTTAAACTTACAATAACTTATAATAAGTCTAAACCTTAACACTAAGTATGCTATGTACAGAACATCACATCAGAAGGAAGAGAGATAGAAAGAGAAAGTGAAACCTAGGCTCCTTCTGGCCTTACTTTTATAGTTAGCATGTCTTTGACAGAAGAGATAAGAGAATCAGTTTAAGGCAGCTGTAATCAGTCTCTCTAAATAACCCAAACATCAGGAACCTTTCAGAACCGTCTTGAATTAGGTCGAATAGGAAAGATCTCTACACATCAGATCAATACTTTCTGCACTAAGAAAGTTATCCCCAACCGCTTCATCTTTTGAGTTCTACAAGTAAAGTTTCTAGCCCTCATTGGGTAAGGGAGACATAGTCAGCAGGTGCCTTGAATAAAGAAAAGGAAGGAAGGAAGACTATATGAATAGCACAAAATATGTGAGTAACGAAAACCCCTCCACCATCATTGCAGATACAGTCACCAATAGTGCATGCATCTTAAGCCAAACATCTAAGCCCTTCAGATGTCCAAATAGATCCCCACAGGAAACTAACGTCCATTAGGAAGGAGTTCACAGATGCAAAATTGATGCAACTTCAGACCAAAAAGAATATATTGCAGGCTCACAGCATGTACCTCAGCGGGGCATCCTCAGCATCATTGGACAGTGACTTCTATGAAAACGTTGTCCAGTATATTTGAAATGTTGATTTCTGCTGGATCGATCTCAGTTTGGAGTCTAACAAGGCGGACCCTGAGGACTGAAATGGGAACCTCTTTCTGTCTCTCTCAGACAACCTACAAAGGGAAGTCGTCCTTTCAAACTTACTCTGACTATCTCAAGTGGGAAACTTTCCTCCAGGAGCAGCTCCAGCAGTTCCCCGAAGGCTCAGCTCTACGCCGGGGCTTCCAGACCTGTGAGCACTGGAAACAGATCTTCATGGAGATCATAGGTAAGTGGCTTTTTTTTTTTTTTTTGCCTCCGTGTTCTGTTCAAGGAGCCACTTGGAGAACCAGGGATGGCTGTGAATGGGGTCAATGGCAGCAAATTGGGAGCATCCATTCGCTGCAGACAGTGTGAATTGAGAGTGATTTGCATGTCCCAGTACGTTTCCAAGCACAATTCAAAGTGTTGGTGCTGACCTTTAAAGCCCTAAATGGCCTCGGTCCAGTATACCTGAAGGAGCGTCTCCACCTCCATCGTTCTGCCCGGACACTGAGGTCCAGCGCCGAGGGCCTTCTGGCAGTTCCCTCGCTGTGAGAAGCCAAGTTACAGGGAACCAGGCAGAGGGCCTTCTCGGTAGTGGCGCCCGCCCTGTGGAACGCCCTCCCACCAGATGTCAAAGAGAAAAATAACTACCAAACTTTTAGAAGACATCTGAAGGCAGCCCTGTTTAGGGAAGCTTTTAATGTTTAATAGGTTATTGTATTTTACTGTTTTGTTGGGAGCTGCCCAGAGTGGCTGGGGAAACCCAGCCAGATGGGCGGGGTATAAATAATAAATTATTATTATTATTATTATTATTATTATTATTATTATTATTTATTACTGTGCTCCACCCACGTGTATTATTTTCCCAAAGCAGGCTAGGCCCAAGGCTGCCCTGTTAAGTGAGGATTTGAATCCGCCGCTCCGTGGACCTAGTCGAACTTCTACACTAGAGAGCCAGTGTCAGGCTAGGACCTGGGAGAGACCAGGGTTCAAATCCCCGCTCAGGCCTGAAGCTCGCTTGGGTCACTGCCTCTCAGCCTGGTCTACCTCACAGGGCTGTTGTAGGAATAAATTGGAGATTGTAGAAAGCCAGCTTGAAAACGTTGGCAGCATTAAGATAAATTTGACAAGTTTTGGTGGATGTTTTAGCGTGTTTTTAATATTCTGTTGGGAGCCACCCAGAGTGGCTGGGGAGACCCGGCCAGATGGGCGGGATATAAGGAATTTGTTGTTGTTGTTGTTGTTGTTGTTGTTGTTGTTGTTGTTGTTGTTACTGGAATAATGAATGGTTTAGTTTATGTAAAATATGCAGGGATTTGTAATATGCAAAATGAACCATGGAAAGAGAAGAAGGGAAGTCATTGATATTTAAGATTGTCTAAAGGAATATTCTAAAATGTAAAACAGAAAATTTAATAAAAATTATATATAAAAAAGAGATTGTGGGAAACCATATACTCCACCTTGAGCTCCTTAGAGAAATGATGGGATAGAAATGCAAATGTCTCTCTCATTGCTGGGGCAGCTGTGAATTATTCCTCTCCTGCCGTCCCAGGATGGCTTGGCAGCATCTATTGACTGGGTGGGGTATCTACGTATTTTGAAACAATTGTTCTCAAAGCACGTTGCAACGAAATGAAAACTCAAGCAGTAAAATTACAGCAATGGCAAGAGAGCGTCATTTATGAGAGGGAAAGATGCAGGTGTTCACCAGTGGCTCCCCCAAATTGTGCACCCCACTTGTGGAGCTGTTAAGAGACCTGGTGAGCCAACAGCCTTTGACAGTTGCCAAGTCAGACTGATTCCAGTTCGGAATGGTTCTCCATTGCCAAAGGGTCGAACATAGGCTATCATAGAATTCTAGAGTAGGAAGGGGTGCCGAGGATCATCCCCTAAAATGCAGGATTATGCAGCAATGGCAAAAAAAACCCAAAATAGCATCTCATGGCCCAACACAAAATCCTTTTAGAGGGAGATGGGATGTGGGACCTTCTGCATGCAAAAAGCTGTTCCCCCAAAGATCCAAGGCCTTTGCCTTAAGGAACAGGAAGCGGCTGCCCTATACTGAGTCCAACCATTGATCCATCTAGTTCAGTGTTGTCAGCACTGACTGGCAGCAGCTCTCTAGGATATTTCCATTCCTGCCTTTGAGGTGCCTCTGGGGGCTGAGCCTGGAACCTTCTCCAAAGAAGGCAGCCTTGTTTAGGGAAGCTTTTAATGTTTAACAGACCGCTGTATTTTAATACTTTGTTGGAAGCTGCCCAGAGTGGCTGGGGAAACCCAGCCAGATGGGCGGGGTATAAATAAATTATTATTATTATTATTATTATTATTATTATTATTCAGATGCTCTGTCACTTGAGCTACAGCCCTCCCTGCACCTCTTTGGACAAACAGTTTGTGTGCATGTTTTAAACATAATAAATAAAATCTCTCCCCCCCTTTTTTTCAGGTGTGCAGAGTGCGCTGTATGGTCTCATCCTCTCCCTCGTGATTTGTGTTGCTGCTGTTGCAATCTTTACCACACACGTGCTCCTCCTGCTTTCTGTGCTGCTCACCATTTTAGGTAGGTACCTAGTTGTGATTTTGAAACTTTAGCTTCCTTGCCTGGATTCCTGAGAACGCGGGAACCTGCCTGATTGGACTATCTGTTCATTTGACCCAGTATTGTCTGCTCTGACTGGCAGCAGTTCTCCAGCTAGACCTTCCTAATGTTCATAGTAAACTTTCATTTCATTACCTCTGTGTGTGTGTGTGTGCTCCCTGCAGGGGTCGTATGCTTAGTAGTGACCATCATGTATTTGTCCGGCTGGGAAATGGGCGCAGTGGAGGCCATCTCCCTCTCCATCCTCGTCGGCTCCTCTGTGGACTATTGCGTCCATCTTGTGGAAGGCTTCCTTCTGGCAGGAGAGAACCTGCCGCTTCACCTGGCGGAGGTAGGACAGCTGTCCTTTTTAAAAATAAATAAATAAGTATTTTTTCTTGATTTGATGACAACAAATGGCACAAATCTCAAGACTATAGATTACAGTGGTACCTCGGGTTACATACGCTTCAGGTTACACACTCCGCTAACCTAGAAATAGTGCTTCAGGTTTAGAACTTTGCTTCAGGATAAGAACAGGAAATTGGGCTCTGGCGGTGCAGCGGCAGCAGGAGGCCCCATTAGCTAAAGTGGTGCTTCAGGTTAAGAACAGTTTCAGGTTAAGCACAGACCTCCGGAACGAATTAAGTACTTAACCCAAGGTACCACTGTACTCCAACGTGATCTGTGTGGGGCTTCCCTTACATTTGGACCAGAAGCTGCAGTTAGTGCAAGATGCTGAAGGAGTGAGACCCTCTTGTCCTGGTTCACTACTGGGACAAATTCAAGGTTTGGCTATTAGTATAAGGTAAAGGGACCCCTGACCATTAGGTCCAGTTGTGGCCAACTCTGGGGTTGCGGTGCTCATCTCACTTTATTGGCCAAGGGAGCCGGCGTACAGCTTCCGGGTCATGTGGCCAGCATGACTAAGCCGCTTCTGGCGGACCAGAACAGCGAACGGAAACGCCGTTTACCTTCCCACCAGAGCAGTACCTATTTATCTACTTGCACTTTGACGTGCTTTCAAACTGTTAGGTTGGCAGGACCAAGGACCAAGCAACGGGAGCTTACCCCGTTGTGGGGATTCGAACCTCTGACCTTCTGATTGGCAAGTCCTAGGTATCCCTGTTTACCAACAAGAACACCTTACCCCATAATAAGGACGTGGGTGGTGCTGTGGTCTAAACCACTGAGCCTCTTGGGCTTGCCGATCAGAAGGTCAGCAGTTCGAATCCCTGCGACGGAGTGAGCTCCCGTTTCTCTGTTCCAGCTCCTTCCAATCTAGCAGTTCGAAAGCACGTCAAAGTGCAAGTAGAAAAATAGGTACCGCTGTGGCAGGAAGGTAAACAGTGTTTCCATGCGCTCTGGCTTCCGACACGGTGTTCCGTGTCCACATAACCCAGAAAGCTGTCTGTGGACAAATACTCACTCCCTCGGTCTGAAAGCGAGATGTCGCAACCCCATAGTCGCCTTTGACTGGACTTAACTGTCCAAGGTGTCAGGGACGCACCGGTGGTTTCACGTTTCCTGGAGGGAGGTGGGAACCTGGGAGCAGAAGACCACGTTTCCTGGAGGGAGGTGGGAACCTGGGAGCAGAAGAAGTGGACGAGATGCCTGAGGGGGAGGGAGATACTGAGGAGAGAGCGGTTGGAGTAAGCCGAAAGGAGGAGGCAGGAGGCAGGAAGGGCTAGAGAGCCAGGAAGATCACAGGAACAGCAAGGGTTAAGCTCAAGCTCAGAATTGGGGGAGAGGTTTGCTAGTGTCCTCACAAGATGTGTGGAGAAGAGGAGGGCGGAAAGGCCAAGCGGGAAACTTTGTCATTTTATGAGTTGCTGGAGTTATGAGTTGCTGGAGGGGCAAATGCAGGCCTCAGCAGAGATCTGAACTGAGTGACTCTGATGGATGATAACGATGTGCTAATGACTCATTGTAAATACAGTCATACCTCCGGTTAGGGATGCTTCAGGTTGCATTTTTTCAGGTTATGGACCCGCCAAAACCCAGAAGTACAGGAACGGGTAACTTCCAAGTTTTGGCGGTCGCCCATGCGCAGAAGTGCTAAATCGCGCTTTGTGCATGTGCAGAAGTGCCAAATCACAACCCGCGCATGCGGAGATGAGGCACTACAGGTTGTGAATGCTGCTGGTTGCGAACGTGCCTCCTGCATGGATCACATTCACAACCCGAGCGTCCACTGTATTGTAAATAAAGACTATAAAAACGTCAAGAGGCTTCCGTGGTGATTGTTGTGAAGAGAGGAAGCCCACAGCTCTGACACAGGGGTCCTTTACTTTTACCTTTTTACCCCATAAGTGCTCACTCAACCGCTTTGATCAGGCTTGTTACAGGTGCCATGTAATACCTATTCCCAGGGCTTTTCCCCCCCAGCCAGAGCTCAGCTCAGGTGGGCAACATTGCCGTTCTAAGAGAACAAGGGAGAGGTTCATGGTGAGCTCCAGCATCTCTTTTCTTCCTAGAAGAACAGCACTGCCTGTTCCACATTTGTAAGAAAATGGAGTTTTAAACTTGGGAACTCCCTACCCCTTGATACACAAGCAGACACCTGCTCTAAAAAAATGTTATCGTTTGGACAAACCTATCCAGATGTTTAGCTCAGACTACTGCAATGCGCTTTACGTGGGGCTACCTTTGAAGGTGACCCAGAAACTACAACTAATCCAGAATGCAATAGCTAGACTGGTGACTGGGAGTGGCCGCCAAGACCACATAACACCGGTCCTGAAAGACCTCCTTTGGCTCTCAGTACGTTTCCGAGCACAATTCAAAGTGTTGGTGCTGACCTTTAAAGCCCTAAACGGCCTCAGCCCAGTATACCTGAAGGAGCATCTCCACTCCCATCGTTCAGCCCGGACACTGAGGTCCAACGCTGAGGGCCTTCTGGTGGTTCCCTCCCTGCGAGAAGCAACATTACAGGGAAGCAGGCAGAGGGCCTTCTCGGTGATGGCGCTGCCCTGTGGAACATCCTCCCATCAGATTTCAATGAAACAAACAACTATCTGACTTTTAGAAGACATCTGAAGGCTGCCCTGTTTAGGGAAGTTTTTAATACTTGATGTTTTATCATGTTTTTAATATTCTGTTGGAAGCTGCCCAGAGTGACTGGGGAAACCCAGCCAGATGGGTGGGGTATAAATAATAAATTGTTGTTGTCGTTGCAATTTGACGGCAAGTTTAAATCTGGCTTTGGTCTGCTGCTGATTTAGATTTAGGGGATGCCCCAGCTCAGTGTTGACACTTTTATCTTATTTTGTAACACACTTTCCCCCCCCCTTGTGTTTCCTCCTTTCAGGACCCCAACTCCAGCCGCCAGTGGAGGACGATCGAGGCGGTCAGCCACGTGGGCGTAGCTATCGTTTCCAGCGCCATCACCACCGTCATGGCCACCGTCCCCCTCTTCTTCTGCATCATCGCCCCCTTTGCCAAGTTCGGCAAGATCGTGGCCCTCAACACGGGGGTCTCCATCGTGTACACGCTGACTGTGAGCACCGCCCTGCTGAGCATCATGGGGCCCCCCTCTTTCACCCGCAGCCGGACTTCCTTCCTGAAGGCCCTGGCAGGGGTGCTGGTGGCCATCGGGGTGGGGCTGTGCCTTTGCCTGGTGCTGCTCAGAAGCGGATTCAAGATCCCTCTGCCCAATGGGACAGTCCTATAGTTCCATGTTTCCCCAATGGCCTCTTTGTATATCTTTTCTTCTTCTCCTCCCCCCAAACTGGATTTTCCCGCAGAAGTCCTGGAAGATGTCCAGGGATGCTTTCAATTACAGTCCTCACTTGCCGTTTCCGGGATGTCTCTTGTGCCCCCAAGAGTCTTGCTCTTACTGCGGGTTAAGGGTGTGGGGATGGCGGGCAGAACCCGGGTTCAAATTTCTCCAACCCTGCAGGACTCCGACTCCCATCAGCACCAGCGATGGCTTCCCTGACAGCCAGGGCTGGTGGGCGTTTGCTTCGAATTGTGGCATTTGTGCCCCACCTTTTGTCCAAGAAGCTCAGGGAGGCATTCACAGTTCTCCTCCTCTTCATTTAATTCTTTAATCCTCACAATGACCCTGCGAGGTAGGTAGGTTAGGCCAAGAGGGAGCAACCTGCCCAAGGCCACCCAGCGAGCTTCATAGCCGAGGCGTTGGGGCAGACGACCACAAATTTCATTTTATAATGTGTATAAAACAGAGAGAGCAGCTGCAACAACAGATGGGAATCTAAGGACGAAAAGCGAAACTATGAAACAAACACGTAGGATGAGTACAGTCGTACAAGGGTTAAAATAACAACTCCAAATAAAGTGGTACCTCGGGTTACAGACGCTTCAGGTTACAGACTCCGCTAACCCAGAAATAGTACCTCAGGTTAAGAACTTTGCTTCAGGATGAGAACAGAAATCGTGCAGCCGTGGCGCGGCAGCAGCAGGAGGCCCCATTAGCTAAAGTGGTACTTCAGGTTAAGAACGGACCTCCAGAATGAATTAAGTTCTTAACCCGAAGTACCACTGTATTCAGATAATCAGCATTATCTGATTATCAAGTCCAATTCTGGGTTTGCTAGGCTTGGGAAGAGGGTTGCCTTGAAAGGGATGGTTCTGTTGTATGGCTGAGTGGAACTTGAACCCAGGTCTCCCCGGTCTTAGTCCGACACTCTAACCACTTCACCACTCTCAAGTCTGATGGCATATTGAGGTTGGGGAAGGATGGCCAGGAGTGTAAGGTTCAGCTCTCCCCTTTGTAACTGCCAGAGTTACAAAAGGAAGGTGATCTGAAGCCCTGGCTCAGCCTTCCCCAAGTTAGCACCCTCCAGATTTTGGGGACTCCCAACTCCTATCAGCCCCGACCGTTGGACCAAGTCATCGCTGGAACTGATGGAATTCGGAGTCCAGGAACAGCCGCAGGGTACGAGATTGGAGGAGGCTGCTCTGGGTCTTGCCTGTCATCACCTTGATAGCAGAGTCAGTAAAGCATGGGACTCTTAATCCCAGGGTTGTGGGTCCAAGCCCACATTTGGGTGAAAGATTCCTGCATTACAGGGGGTTGGGCTAGATGACCCTCACGCCCCCTGCCGGCACTATGCTTCTATGATTCTGTCTAAGGGCAGGACTCTGAGTTCACAAACGACACCCAGGAAATGGCGAGCGAGGGCCATGAAATTGCAACTCCCAGCAGCCACCTCTTGTAGTCCGAAACATCTGAAGGCCACCAAGCCTGTCCTATCCTGTGACAGACCCCGCAGGATAGGTCTTCCCCCATGGATATGGGGGTCGGAGAGGCAGGGGATGGAATGATGCCGATCCCCTTTCCTGTGGGGTTTAGGGGACAGGGGTCTCCTTTTCCAGCTCTGAACCAGTTTTGTACTCCAGTCCAACTTGCTGGATTTCTGTGTCTAGTTTTATAAGAATATTTTTTTGTATGTCCGGAAGAAAATCGATTCCACTTTCCTCTCCTTGCTCTCCCCCTGCTCCCAAATTTGAGCTGTGCTTTACCTGCTCCTACCTTTGCTCTGAACCTGCTTGTGTTTTAATTTTATCAGGAAGGATGTGGGAGAGTCGTATGCAGTGTCTGGTGGTGGGAGAATTGCCAGTTTGGGGGTGCCCTTGGCCACATCCACACCAAGCATGTACTCTATAAACAGCCATGGTTTCCCCCAAAGAATCCTGGGAGTTGTAGTTTTTACAAAAGGGATGCTCAGAGTTATTAGGAAGATCCCACAATTCCCCTCCCAGACCTACAGTTCCCAGAACGATCGGTTGTTAAACTAAGGTTACCAGATTTTTTTCAATGATTCCGGGGACGCTTTTCAACTTCAATGGATTTTGTATGGGGACTGATTTGTAAATCTGGGGACTGTCCCTGGAAAACGGGGACATCTGGCAACCTTATGCTAAACTGCTGTAAGAACAATAGAACTGGGGTCTCCTAATGACTCTCAGCACCTGGAACCCAGGATTCTCTGTAGGAAGCAGTCCTGACTGACTAAAGTGGAATCATAGTGTGAATGTGGCCATGGTTGAAGGAAGATGTGCATAGTTTCTTATTTTTGCTGCCTCTGGTTCCCCTCAGGCACACAGCAGAGGCTGGCCCATTAGGGCAAAAGGGGCTGTGCCCCGCCTATCTCAATCTGCCCTTATCCAGTCTGGGTTTGTCTGCCACCCAGTCCAGGCAGTGGCCCTGCCAGCTTCGGTCCCAGAGCTGCCCTTTGTAGAACTCAGCAGAGGGCAGAGGATGGGGGCAAACCTGGAATGAATTGGTTCTGCCTCTCATTGGCTCTGTCTCAGCCAGTCTCTGGCTCTGCCTACTGTTGGTGCCAGTCTCAATGGGCACCAGCTGCCAATGCACACCCTTCACAAAATCCCCATGACGTGAAAACCTGGAAGCTAGGCTCTGCATTTCCAAGCCCATGGAGACAGAAGCTGAGGTTGTCACCTGGGATATGGAATACGTCTGTCTCCAGTTCACACTGGATCTACGTGTGCATTTCCCCCCCAGGGTTTCTAGTCCTCATGATATATTTGAGCCATAGGTAGTCATTACCAACCTGGGAACCTCCTAGGGTGGTGGTATAAATGTAATGTAGGTCAAAAAGATAAAGGACCCCTGGACGCTTAAGTCCAGTCAAAGGCAACTATGGGGTTGTGGCGCTCATCTCGCTTTCAGGCCGAGGGAGCCGGTGTTTGTCCACAGACAGCTTTCCAGATCATGTGGCCAGCAGGACTAAACCGCTTCTGGCGCAACGGAACACTGTGACAGAAGCCAGAGCGCACAGAAATGCTGTTTACCTTCCCGCCACAGCGATACCTATTCATCTACTTGCACTGGCGTGGTTTCAAACTGCTCAGTTGGCAGGAACTGGGACAGAGCAACGGGAGCTCACCTCATCGCGGGTATTCAAACCGCCGACTTTCTGATTGGCAAGCCCAAGGGGTTCGGTGGTTTAGACCACAGAGCCACCCACGTCCCAAATGTAATATATAAATATTACAAACCAGAGGCAGTGATAGGATCTTTGGAGCACAATCGAGCATTGAGTGCAAAGCAGAACAGACACCCTTACATTTTGACATTTCTACTTCTGAGCGGATAGAATCCATTGGTTTGGGTGGAGGTTGGTGGTGGGAGGCGGAGCTCAGAAACAAGCAAAGAGTCTGAGAAAGCCATACTTTCTCTGGGATGGCTATATTTGTCCAACCTGAATGGGAAGCTTTTTAAACTCTTACTGTAGAAGACAGTCAGGAGCCAGCCAGGGTGGGGAGAAGTATTCTGGTACCCTGCATATGATCCCACCTGTTTGGTCACCCATACATTTCCCAATTCATAGGCTCATGGAGTTGGTCTCTCCCAGGTCCTAGTCTGACACTCTTAACCACATGGACTCATTTCCCATTAGCTTGTCTTCTGTGATGTGATGGAATGTTCACTTCAAACATATGGAGGCGATCGCTCTTTTTAATTGAATTGCATTTATAGCTCACCTTTTTCTCCAAAGATCTCAAGGCAGTGTATCTGATTCTCCCCCTCCTCAACAACCCTGTGAGGTAGTGACTGGCCCCAAATTCACACCCAGTGACCGAGTGAGGAGTGGAACCATGGTTTCCCATGTTCGACGCTCTAACCACTACTCCACACCTGCCACAGCAGATTGCTTTTTTCTTTCTTTTTAAAGACCCTCTCCAAAAAAAAGGCATTATTTTCATGCTCAGTTCTCCTAAGATCCAGTGCAGCCCAGTAGTTAGAATGTCTGACTCAGACCTGGAAGACCTGGGTTCAAATCCCAACATGGCCATGAAGCTGGCTTGGTGACCTTGAGCCAGTCACTGGTGCTCTCAGCTAAACCTACCTCACAGGGATGTTGTGGGAATTAAAGGAGGAGTGGGGAGTCCCAGGTACTTGAGGTCATTAGAGAAAGCGGCTGGGATATAGGTGCAGTAAATAACTAAGATAATAAAATGCACTGGTTCTGTGTGCAAGTGTTTCCCCACATACACATTTTTGTAGACAATTTTTGTTCCCCTAATAGGGTGCATTTTTGTATGGCGGAGTGTGCAAATTTGTGGGGGAGGTTGCACCCCCTTCCTCCTATTAATGTTGTTGGAGGAGGAACACACCCCCCCGAAGACGGAGGAGTGCGGGTTTCCAAAGCGCAGCTGCGTTTTCAGTTCCCATATCGTCTTGGGAGACACAGAATCGGATACGTTAAAAATGCCAAACAAAAAGATTTTTCCTCTGCCCTCCCGCCCCTCTGCCCTGCCCTACAGCCCCCACAGGCTTCCTGTTCCGAGCAGACAGTTTGCATTAAGCCCCAGATGAAACCACAAACCGACTCCATTAACAAGTACATTTGAAGCATCGCTGATTCCCATCAGTCTTACGGATGGCATAACTAAGCAGCGGACTTGGTATGCATAGCAGCTTGTTTTACTAAAAAAAAGAGGTGAGGAATTTCTCATTAAGGGCTGCTTAGAATCACAGAACTGTGGAGTTGAAAGGACCCAAAGGATCGTCCAGTCCAACTCCTTGCAATGCTTCTTGAAACATTTTACTTAACAGGGATGCAGACAGAGGGGGAGTGCACCCATAGATGGATTCTAGCTTTGCTTAGGCAGGCTGAGAACTGACCCTGTTCGGATATGGTTGTGCGGACATACAGAGGTCAAGCTTGCACTTCTGCCTTTGTCCCACACAGTTTAGGTTGTGTTTTTTTTAATTTCTTCCTTTGTTTATTCATTGCTTTTTGACACCGAGGTCTCTCTCTCTCTCTTTTTAAAAATAATATTTATTAATTTAAATTACACATATACACAAAGAATTTACAAAGAATTTTCAATCTCATTGTAGAAAATTAAAGAAAAAACAATTAAGAAAAAAGAAAAGAAGAAAATACAGAAAAAAGAAAAAACAGATTTACGTGCATAAAAAAACTTAAAGCTTCCTAATTAATACTTAAATAAATACTTAAATAAAAAAGACTTCTGACAAAACGAGACACCGAGGTGTCTCAAAGCGACTTAACAAAGCAGGAACAGAAATGATGAGCAGCTGTGATTCCAGCATTGCAGGGCATTGAATGGCATGACCCTTCTTGACTCTTCCAACTCTTCGGAGAAAAGAGTGGGATATAAATGCAATTAATTCATTAATTAAATTCCCCATATGAAAACATCGAGAGGTGGTAGGAGTACGAGTGAAGACAGGAATAACCAGATTAAGGCCAAATGTAAGAAGGATCTAAAATTCTCATAGACAGATAGATATGTGGATCTTACCACCCCACTAATACAGCGGTACCTCGTGTTACATACGCTTCAAGTTACAGACTCCGCTAACCCAGAAATAGTGCTTTAGGTTAAGACCTTTGCTTCAGGATGAGAACAGAAATCGTGCTCCAGCGGTGCAGCAGCAGCAGGAGGCCCCATTAGCTTAAGTGGTGCTTCAGGTTAAAAACAGTTTCAGGTTAAGAACGGACCTCCGGAACGAATTAAGTACCTAACCAGAGGTGCCACTGTAGGATGAACATGGGAAGGAGGGGTGGGGAGGCCATGAGCAAATCACATTTCTTTACTCTGGCTTTTGCCACCCAAGATATGTGTTTCCAGGACCCACCCTAGTCCTGTGACAGTCATTTATCTTAACCCTTTTTAATTCTGAATTCTAAACTGGTGTTTCTAGCCCTTGTGGGCATGGCAAAATCTCAGAGGTCAGTGTGGTTCTTGGTCCAAGAATGAGGCATCTTTTGTGATGTTCTACATGCTTGGATACTTGTGTTCTTTGCTGGAAAGCAGCTCTATGTAACAACTGGAACTGTTTGTCTGATTTTTGACATGCTCTTCTGCCCTAAGAAAGGAAGTATGGGGGTTCTCTGGAAGCCTACCTGGTCCAACCCTGAGCTCCTCTTAAGTGCTGGCTCTTTGGCAGTCTTCTTGAAGGTAGTTTCCTTTCCCTGGCTGGAACTCGTGGAGGTTACTGAAGTAAAGCATGGCAAACTGCAGATCAGACAGTGGAAGGTCAGCACCACGG